GCTCATTTGACTGTTTTAACAGGTTAGTATTATCATATAAGAGCGATAAACAGGTGAAAACGGGAGAAAACCGTGTGAAAATGTGTTAATCGTTTTTGGGGAAGTTTTGTTCTTAATGTGTGGTTAATGTGCTGTAGGCCCGATGGCAAAGTTGATATGGCGGCACAATAACTGCGTCATGTTTATTTGGATTTTATCCTGTGTGCTCCATGTAAAATGAATGGCATTGCTGAGAAAGAAGTGTTATTTTGTTCATGTAGGTGAAATAGTGAAAATAGGCAAGGTAGTTGATGAGAAAGAGTTATTTAAACTGGTTTACGTTAATATTATTTTAAAGCTCATGTGGAGTAGAAATATTTTATTAAGTTTGTTCCATGAGTGTTTTATTATTTAATGAACATGTAGTGATGAACCAGTATTGCAAGAACATGTCAAATGCAGTAAAATAAGTGTCTGACTATTCAGAATTTGTCAAAGGGGAACTGGTTAAACAAAGTGAATGGTAGTGAATGTGCTGCTTGACATGGTTAAAAGTGTTAATATAAATTCTGCGACGAGGAGCTAACGCAGCACCATACTGATGTCCTGTCTGCTCATTTGACTGTTTTAACAGAAATTATAGCAGTCTGACCGCGACCTCTGGTGGTTAGTCAACCCAATTACAGTTTTTGAAGTCTATTTTGTTCTTTTTTCCACCTACGACAATCCACTTGAATAAGCCTTTACTCTTCGGGTAATGAAAAGAGGGCAAACAGCTGTTATGCGTTTTATTCAACCAATATAGTAAAAACAAGCAGGTTTCTTGATAATGGACCAGACAGATCGTGTGTGTACTGTTTAAGAGTGCTGAGAAGTTGGTCAGTGGGACTAAAACCAACGAATACCATAAATATTCAGTGTAACACAACGAGTTAGGTGTTATTGTTATCAAGTGTGCAGTGCAAGAGCCACAGTGTTTTCATAGCGTAACTGAGATGAGTTAAACACATTTATCCTCAACATTTTAGTCGGCATTTCCGCTTGGTCCGCCCACATATCCCATAATGCAGCTGGGTCCTTTCATTGACACCGTAAGTTAGTACACAGCCCAATCATTGAGTTTGGAAATCGGCTCAGGAATCATCACATCATCGTGTTAGCTCGCTAACACATACACTAAAATTGGAACGATACAGAGAAGATTAGCATGGCCCCTGGCGCAAGGATGACACGCAAATTCGTGAAGCGTTCCTCATTTTTTTTAAATAACATAACTAACCCTAATATGACATTGTTATGAAGCAGTTAGGGGCGTGTCCCCCTGCTCAGTTCCAACATTTGACCAATCAAATGACTGGGTTGTTTCAATTTTGAGAAGCACAGGTTTTCAGCATCCAATCAGAGAGCTGGATTGTTTCAACTCTGAAATAGATCCTCTTTCACTCTGAGCTGGCGTTCCTCCACTACTGAAGTGACTGAGACGTACAATTGTTACTTTAAAAAAACAATTAGACTTTTAACATGTTAAAAAAACTGTTTGTTGTCCTACGAGCGATGTTTAAGATATGGTAATATTTTCTTCTGAACTAAGGAGGAGGAGAGTAGTGTGAAATGATCTTTCACCACGTCCCCAGTTGGCACAAAGTTCTCTGTTTTCTGTATTCTGCTTGTAAAAGCATGTTTTTTATCTGGTATTTCCCTGTTTATGTTCTTTGTTTAATGTTATATTATACTGATCTGCTCGTTGGGAAACTTATTCCACAATTGTACATTTGATGCCTGTACAGTACTCTCCCCATTCCTTTTCACTCTGCAGACTTCCAGAACAAGTCGGAGACCTGTCATCTGCAGAAAGACTCAGACGATTCTGCAGTCGTCGGGTTTATGAGAGATGGTCAAGAGTACAGAGAGCTGGTGGACCACTTTGTGGCGTGGTGTGGGGACACTCACATAATCTTGAATGTGAACAAACCAAATTGGATGATTTAGAAAGAAACGGGAATAGCTCAACATGCATTATTGGGGAGTAGGGGGAGGTGGTGGAAGATTACAAATACCTCGGTGTTCATCTGGACAACAGACTGGACTGGAGACACAAGCATGAAGCCATCTCCAAGAAGGGACAGAGTAGACTGTATATCTTGAATAATATTTTAGATCCTTCAAGGTCTGCAGCAAGAGGCTGCAGATCTTTTACAGGTCTGTTGAGATCTCTTGGGCCACCAGCTGTTGGGGCAGCAGCATCAGAGCCAGCAGGGACCTAAAAAGGCTCAACAACCTGGCAAAAAGGCTGGTTCTGTTCTGGAGACGACTGAGAACCACTGGAGATGATGGTGCAAAGAAGGATTTTTCATAAAATCAATAACATTATAGACAACACTGAGCATCCTCTTCATGCAACAAGCATCTTCTTCAGAGCTGCTGTAACACAGGAGATCCATCCTGCCCACAGCCTTCGGCATCTTTAACCACTCAGATTTCCAACTGAGCTCATTATTATTACTAGTATTTATCTTAAAGACTGCTTTGAATAATTAGTTAAGACAAATCTTAACTACCTTCTGGGATTAATAAAGTAATTTTGGACTTTAGACAGATAAACTTAGTTCTGTGGAGTCGATGAAGAAACCCAATAATGAACCGGTGACACTGCTGAACTCAAACATAATTGTGAAGCTCTCTAACGTGTAATAAATGTGGCTTGTAAAAAATCCGCTCCACCACCTGCTGCTCAGCAGCAGAGTTTCTCCTCACATGTGTGACGAGGTTTTCGCCCCACGTTTGCTGGCTGTTTATCTGTGAACCACACCTGGTTTGTTGTTGGGATTTTTGTCCAGTCACACTATTTCTAACCTTCGTCCTCAGTGGTTTATTAATTTCCTCACCCAAGCTCCTGTTTTCCTGTAAACTCCTCCAAAGATGTGCTATCTACACCTGAAAAGGACGGGAGAATGGATGCGTTGAAGAGCTGAGGGAACAAGCTGTTTTCTTCAGTAAATAAATGATCCGACAAGAATACCAACAATCTAAATGTGTTAACAACAACCTGCTGTACACATGGACATGTAAAGAAAGGAACTTCACAATAAAAGCTCACTGCAAGAATTTAAAAACTTTTATTTGAAGTCATGAGTTCCAAAGATAATTAAGAGAATGTCTATGCCTAGGTCGATTTCATTCGTATAGGAAGGTAGCGGAGGCTACTGCTGCAGCTGCTGCTAGCGTGTAGGCTCCACCATCAAAGACAGCCCGCCTGCAGTACACCTGCAGCAGATGTGGTCAGCCCAAGCGGCTGGACACTGGACACACACTGCAGGCGTGTCCTACTGCGCATCTGTTGGCGGAAAAGTCTGTAGAGGAGTGGAGGGAGGAGGAGATGAATAACACTGGAGGGAGATTGGATGTGTCGAGGAGCTGAGGGACCAAGACAGAAAAACTGTCTTCACCTTTTGGATTTTTCTTTTTAAAGACTTTTTCTTTTATTTCATATATATATATATATATATATAAAGGAAAACACTTCAAATCTTTGAAAGTTTTTATGATCTTGGACACATACATTTATTACATATGTTTTATGACATCACAAATATATTTCAACACAGATGTATTTTTTTCATATGTATTCTATATTTTACATGTGTATTATCACAAATATATTTCACAGCTCAGTACTTGGCACTGGCCGACGTTCCTGCGTGATTAGATTATAAAATCAGCTTAAGCTTTTACTGACACCTGAAAAGGAACAGTTTACAGAAATAAAACTGATTTCTTGACAGACTCTGGTTTGTCACCTGGGATGAAGCGGTTCAGGTGGAGATGGAAGGACTTCAGGGAAGTGGAGCCCCTCGCGCAGCGATAGATGGGCAGCCTGACCCCTCCTTTTTGCAGACTGCCCGTCTGGGTGTACAGCTGCATGCCAGGGGGGTCCTGGATGCAGCTGAGGTGGCGCCTCTGCGTGTCCCAGATGTCCTGGATGCGGAGAGCGTTTAGCAACGGGATGTTCAGCGTGTTGTGTCCTGCGGGCCCTCTGAAGGTGTCAAGGAGGTTTTGGATGAGGAGCGTCGACTCCTCTGCTCCACGCGTCCTCCTGCGGCAGTGGAGCCTCCATTCCTCCTTGCTGATCCGCTGGATCACATCAGCGTCCGTCAGGTTGACCATCCCGTGCGTCCCCTCCAGCTCGGACCGCTTGGCTCCCACGAGACGGCGAGCATCTTCGGCGTCCACCTCAAAGATGCAGTAAGACAGCTGCCTCATGAAGGTGGGATACAGCTCGTGGCTCTCTGTGGTGACACCTGATGCGAAGCGGTGCATCAGATGCCAGATGTCCAGCCGAACAATGAGCTGTTCCCACTCCTGCGACAGAGAGGTTAGTCATTGGAGTGTTGCACACCATGTTTTACCTGCACCACAGTCAAGATCAGAACCCCAAAAACATTCACTGCTCTATAAATTGTCTTTTACAGAAATTTATTTGGGTGTCTGATTGTTTTAAATTTTTCAGAGAGACATTGGGTAGAAATTCAGGTGACCTGGTGATCCATTAAAGTAATTCACAACAAAATAATGAATCATTGCTATGAAAAATTAAATAAACAACTAAATAAGTCAGTCAGCAACGATGCAAGTTTATACCGGAAATAAGGCAGCCATCTTGGACACGCCGTCCTGTCTGCAGCAGTCGTGGTCCACGTAGATGAGCTGGGGGGCAGGTACCTCGGCTAATCGGTACCGCCTCATCAGTCCGGCCGCCATCTTGGACAGGCCCTCGGAGCCCTCGCAGCAAGTGAGGACGCTCATGAGGACCTGGCCGTGCTCGTTGCCCACGTTGGTAGCCCAGGCGGCACCTGCGAGCTTCTTCGTCACCTGCACACAGAGAACTTCCTGCGTAAAGACCAGCAGAACTGTTGTTCACAAGCAGCAAGTAAACACAACGCGGTGACCGTTGGCGCCCCCTGTGGCTGCAGGCGCTCCTGCTGACTGAGAACGTTCAAGTGCACCGTGTGTCTATCATTGGCGGTTCTAGGGGCGGGGCCACAGGGGCACTGGCCCCTGCTGAAATATGATTGGCCCCTGTAGTGCCCCTGTCCTGTCACTCATCTGTCCTTTGTGCGGTGATGAGATTATAGGTGGATGCAATTCCGAGTCCAAACACTAGTGGCCGTGTGGCGCTAAGGAGCAAAATAGTGTGTGAAATCCAACAGAAGAAGATTTGAAAGATTCCAAGAAGGGAGAACTTTTCAACCGACATCGGATCTGATGAGAGTCCACGTTATGAGGAGTTTGTTGGTAAGTCACGAATCACTGTTTACTCACAGTTGCCATGTAAGTCAAGTCTGACAATAAGTCCAATGGAAAGCAATGCCGACATTAGTTAAAGGTAATGTTAAAAAGGGCTTGTGAAAAAACGTTAGCCCTTGCTAATCCATGTACTTCTTTTGTAATCTGCATTTCGTGTGTTAATAGTTGGCACTGTCTGATAGAGAACATGAAAAGAAAGGGTCAGATACAGGCGGGAATTCTGCAGTTTTTTCCCAAGAGAGTGAGTGTGTCAGCTGGTGAGAACGAGCATGGAGAAATCAGAGAGAGAGCAGCAGGAGGCAGTAGACCAGAGGCTGGAACAGGGCAAGGGACCTCCATTCCCCCTTTATCAGGTCAGAAAGAATATAATCTTTATTGTGCAACAGTCATGTCAGATAAACACGAGAGACAGCCTCTTGTAGGACATACCATGCTGGGAAATCACATAGACTGTACATATACAGCGTACGTGTAATATAAACGCGCCGTGGCGGCATGGTGTTGCGGGAATTTTGTGGCATTCGTGCTGCCACGGTTGATACTAATATCACCGCAACGCCGGACTTGTGAATGCATATTACAACTTGGCGCAACAGAAGGGGGTATCATGATCACGTGGGCAGTTACTGCCGAGCTCCGGCCGGCAACTATATTGAAAATGAAAGTAAACATGGGCCGTAAGTTTGGCTTTTCTACACTGTAAACCCTGATAAGTTCAGTCTACTTAAAAAAACCAAGGTAACCCGTTGCCTTAAATTTTTTAAGTAATGAAGAATTAGTTGAATTGATGCAGCTGAGTATGTTCAATGTACTTAAGGCCTTAATGGGATTAAATTAAAGATTTAAGTTGAATATACAAATAACAAAAGTTACATTAACTTAAGATAATTAGTTTAACCAATGCCCCACCATCCTTTTAGTTAACTCAACTTCTCAAGTACAATGTAAACCCCAATAAGTTCAGTCTACTTAAAAAAACCAAGGTAACCCGTTGCCTTAAATTTTTTAAGTAATGAAGAATTAGTTGAATTGATGCAGCTGAGTATGTTGAATGTACTTAAGGCCTTAATGGGATTAAATTTAAGATTTAAGTTGAATATACAAATAACAAAAGTTACATTAACTTAAGATAATTAGTTTAACCAATGCCCCACCATCCTTTTAGTTAACTCAACTTGTCAAGAAAGCCTTACTCAATTACCTATCAAACTACATTGTGTATTCTAACTCAACAAACTTAACTTTTATAATGCATAAAAATCAAAATATAATATTCAATCCAAAGAGCCAAATAAATACATACAAAATATTTTATTAAACATTTAAATCTCAAATAACACATTTGTCCATGGAATGACAACAGAATAAAGAACTGAAGGGTAAAAAAAAAAACTCCAATTTTTTTTTTTTTTTTTTTTTTTTTTACACAAAGAGCCCACACTCTCCCCTCTATGGTAGAGGATTAGGCACACTGAAGAAAAATAAAAAGTATTCTGACTTTAATCTCAGAATTCAGACTTTTTTTATTCAGAGATGAAAGTTTAAAAAAGACAGAATTCTGAGAAAAAAGTCAGAATACTTTTTATTTTTATACAATGGCCCTAATCCTCTTCCGCACCCCTCCACCTCCTCTCAACCCCCCTTCCTCTTAACATTCATGAATAGATGAACATTTAATGAACTCTAAATTTAAAAAAGGCATGTATGGGTGTGATAAAGTAAAACTATATAAAAAAAATAATAATAGTTTTATTTTTTAACACAAAGCCCATACTCTCCCCTCTATGGAAGAGGATTAGGGACACCAAAGAAAAATAAAAAGTATTCTGACTTTAATCTCAGAATTCAGATTTTTTTATTCCGAGATTAAAGTTAAAAAAAGTCAGAATTATGACTTTTTTCCTCCGTTAAAGTCAGAATTCTGAGAAAAAAGTCAGAATACTTTTTATTTTTCTTCAATGGCCCTCTTCTGTACCCCTCCACCTCCTCTCAACCCCCTTCCTCTTAACATTCAGGAATGCACGAACATGAACCAAAAGTTTCTCTAAACTTAATTAAAAAAAGGCATGTATGGGCGTGATAAATTAAAACTATAAAAATACACATCCAAAACCCCGCTCTCCTCCTTTCTCTATACCTCACCCTTACACCCCCCTCCTGCCTCTAATGATTTTCCCCCTCATTATTTACTTTTTAGTTAGTGACATTTTAGTTTGTCCTGCACTTTTCTCCTTTTTAAATATGCTCCAATTAATGTTTCAACAAATTGACATAATGCAGATGAAAGTTGCTATGTTTTCCTTAATTGCCAATTTTCAATGTACATAAAAAAATATGACATTTTTATCTTTGCAAAAGGAGGTAGATCTGGATCTCACATTGCAAGCTGATTCCTGAGTGTTTGGAGTTTTGGTGTTAGATCTGACTTACCCAAGTTCAGAAGTATCTGTTGAATAAAGTCAAATGTGTTTTTCATGTACTTTGGGTAGTTGAGATGCAGTGCATAAGTAAGTCCAAAGAGGATGTACATGGCCTGGGGCAGGTTCTCGGCATCCATCACAATCTTGCCCTCCAAGATGATTCCCACTGAGGATGTATGGTGGTGAAGGGACTGCATGTGTGCTGAAATATCCTGTTCACGGCAGAGGATCCCCACTGGAACATCACTCCACAAACTGTCTTCACCGTCAGTGTCCTAAAAAAAGGAACAAAGCATAATCACGTCCAAATTACGAAACAGTGCAATACTGGCGACAAACCAAAGCAACAAGTGTTGTCCCTCATGTAGTTACTAATTTACACCAGAAGATGGCAGACATCTGTAGCTGTAACTACAGTCTGTGCAACATTTTTGGGTGTGTAACCCCTGCCATGATGCTGAAAGGCCGATTGACTACTGAGAAAGCCCTTCGTAAAGACCTCCTCCAACTACCGATTTTATTTGTTTTAAATTGTTCTCTGTGTTCTTTAAATTATGATTATTCCACTTATCGCGAAAATCACCAACACCTGTGGTGTTTTCTAGTATTTTTTTAAAAACAGCAGCATTAGTTCATTAGAAATTGTCCTCTGGGTTGGGAACGGAACCTTTAGAACCTTGGGAACATTTCCTCAGAGCCTGAGTAGGCAGGAGTGGAGTTTAGTCTCCGCCCAGGAGGAATGTGACATCACAAACACCAGCAGCTTTAGTCTGACTTTTTTGGTCTGCTACAGATTCCCTGCAATTTGAATGCAGAAATACTCAAATGCAAATTTGAACTTAATTTTCTTGACATATGTAATATAGAAAAAATAAAAATGCAAAAAAATATGTTAAGAACAGGAAAAAAAGATTTTCATTGGAGTGGGTCTTAAAAATAATAGGCGACTCAGTGTCTAAAGAGAAATAATCCCCCCTTTGATATTCAGTTGTCCAAGAAACAACAAAGTGAGGCGCTTTTTGGGCGCAGTTGCAGTGAGTCCAACTCGCCTCGACAGTCACCAAGAAGCACATATTATGCCCAATACTTTGTTTCACCACATCCAGGGTGGGAAGGAAGGTACATGATAGGGCTAACAGGGGTGGTCAAAACAATGCTAATGGTGACAGATAGGGATGCACCGATTGCAGTTTTCTGGCTGATCACAGATCTTCAGACAACCTTACCTGTCAATATCGATTTTTTGGTCTATCCCATTTATTTTATAACTGACAGCCAATCACTTCAATGTTTTAATTTTTATTGAGAACATCGATATGAATACTCACCAAACTTGAGGTAGTTTCCTCAAATATAAATGAACATAAGCATTGCTGTTTGAACTACAAAATCACATTTCTTCTTCCAGACTTTCATTTCTCTAATTTTGTTTAAAAATATATAAAATAAAAGAAAAAAGAGGATACCTGTTATGACACAATTGTCCAAAAAATATTCCATTTCATTTGGCTTTCACATTATAACTGGGTTTTCAAGTACTTAATAAAATAGATTGGTGGATAAGACCAATTTCTCATGGAAAAATGGCTAATTTTCAATTCCCTCGAATTAACTGACTGTTTGTTTGACTGCAAACCGATAGCCTCACTAAATACAAATTAGAAATGTAAATTTCCTCCGATTACAAACTTTGAGTAATAATGATTTTTCAAATTTACAGTATGCCTTTAACTAACCACATTCAACCTGTTACATATAATGATATGAAAACGTATTTAATGAATATTATTTTGAATGAATAATATTTTCTTAAGCAACTGCAGCACCTACAGAGTTCATCAATGACAATAACAGAAAAAAGTCATTCTAACCCAAAATTGTAGAGAGCGAGAATGGGAGCTAAGCATCAAGGCAGAGAGAGCAGAAGGGACATAGGGGGGAATGAGGATAAAATATTAAACGTGTAACGCGGGAATGGCGTGACGATAGGTAAAAAAGTAAGTTTCTTACAAAGCAGGCCTTGAAGAAGGCAGATGGATCATCACCGAGAATGACTGGAAGCCCCCTGAGGACCAGGGATCTAACCTCCATCACATCCGAAGCCTGGTGGAATGAGAAAGAATTTCACTAATTTAGAACAGGGTCCATATCTCATTCTAAGAACTATGTTCTTTGCACATAAAAAAAGCCCAACCACTTATCAGGGTTTTTCTAGGTTGGACCACCAAAAATTTAGGATCTTTTTAAAGATGTTTTTAGGGGTTTTAGTGTTAATGTACTGCAAACCACCTGTTAAATCATAACCAGTGTTTGACATTATTTTTACAGGTAGCTATCTATACGAATATTTTACAAATCAACAGGCAAAACCTGGTCAAGTAATGTTTAGCAATTACTCTTAGAAAATAGCCAATTCAAGTCTATTACACATACGCTACTCGGAGATAAAGCATCTACAAGCAGCATACCTGACATTCCTGTTACATTTTAATCTGACAAGGTATCTTTCAATCTCAAACAGGCAACAGCATTTTTAGATATGATTAATGAATTAAAAATCAACTAACCTTTGTTTGTCGCATCAGGTCAGCCAACACCTGCCCTGTAAGACCCCTCTTTGCCTTAAAGATTTCCATAAGCCTGGGACATAGGTGGTCAAGGGCCTCATAGAACTCCTTTCTCAGGCTTTTACCAACCACTCTGCTGAATTCCAGACACACCTAAAACACACAAAAAGAAAACATGTTCAAACAAATGGACCATGACATGATCTTTTTATGCATCAACCCAGACTACACTCTTAGTGGATTAGTACTTTGGAGCCTTTTTGGTGAAAAAAGATTAAAAAAAAACACTTGAGGCCATAAATCTCCTCTTTGTCCATTATTGTTGCCAAAATTAACAATAAACAGCCTGCACAAAAGTGCCAATAATTTCTGGCCAAAAATTTTCTATGTCCAATTTTAGCAAAAATGTTATGTTTAAAACAACATACGAGGGAACTCTATGGACATACCTGGTTTTCCGTAAAGAGAGGAGGCCATCGTTGACATATCTGGATGATGGCGGGCTTGTCGTTCACAATTTCTTTCCTTCGAAGAGCAAATGTCAGATCCATCTTTTGCTTCATCATGGCTGTATTTGGAGTTTTCTTCTTCATTTCTGCAACCATCAGCTGTCGAGCATCTTCAAGACTGGACTCATCTTCTCCCTCTGGATAATCAGGTAAGTAATTGACTTCTCCTCTCTTTGGCTTCTTGATTCTCTTGTTTGGTGGATCTCCAGAAGGAGAGTGCTTTCCGTATTTACCACCGTTGACAGTGACATCAAGGTGACCCAGCTGACGCATTTTTGTTCTGTAATTCCCCATCTTGAATTTCAGGCTGTTTTTCCAGCCACTCCAGCCGGACATTGATCCTTGTTCTTTCAGACATGGGTGCACTCGCACCAGTGCTGAGGCAACAGCTTCAAATTCCGCATTTGTTGGGTAAGCTTTCATGGCATATATGGTCTCGGCAAGCCTCTCAAGGATGTCATGTTTTAGCTCCTTTGATGGGTTGAGGTGTGTTCCATCTCTGAGATGCAGCAGGTTTGCTTGACGCAGTCTGTATTCTACATCTACAGAAAATTTTGGTATATACATATCAAAAAGCTCTGGCCACTGGCGTCGTTCCTGGGGTGAGTAGGGGAGGATGTCAGTGTCAGCCTGGCTTGTTGTGTCACTTGTGGGTGAACTCATCTGTATGTCAGGTACCGCCTCAAGAGTAAGCAAAGGAATGATTTTGACAGTAGGTCGTTCAGGTAGCTCTGATATCTCGGTTAAATTACAGAGTTCGTTGTCAAAGCTGGGATCTTTATACTGAAGGGTGAAGTTGTATTTTATTTGAAGCACATCTTTAAGGGACCCAACCAAAATATCAACTGTATCAGGCTTTGTTGTCAGTTCCACCTTCCTTATGTCCCCTTCAGTGATGATGACTCTCATAAGCATTCTCTGTTGCACAGCCATCTGTGGAGGAAGATGGAGAATGTTCAGCACAGAATAAAATGTTTGAGAGTGACCATTAGTTTCCCACCTATTCTGTATGCTGAAAGTGGGAAAACATCATTAAGCTCTGACAGTGAGACCATACAATGGGTTGGAGGCACATCAGTGTAGCAAACTTCATATGACCTAAGATGCTCATGGTACCATGCAGTCATTACTCTGCACACAAACATGATCTCTGCAAGAACTGCAACAATCTGCGTGATCTGTCTAAACTCAGGAAGACCAGAGCAAGATCCAACAGAGACTACCATACCTGCTTTGTATGTAATTCCATCTAGACAGACAGATGATGCTACAAGAATTGCTTCTGGCTTGTGGATTTTCTGACAGAGTACCCTTTGGACATTCTCGGGGAAAGATGATATCTGGACAGTAGTGACCTTCTCCATCTCCACTGGAGGTTTGAAAAATGAACTAGAGTCCAAATGATAGCTGACTGCTTTTTGGTGCTTCACCGCAAGTGTAAGAGCCACATTCCTGTAGTTCCTAGCATCACGAATAACCTTTTTGAAAAATTTGTGCTTGCCCTCAAAGCGCATAGTCCAGACATCACGCAACGGACCAAATGCTTTAATAAGTTGGGGATAATGTTCAATGTAGTGGTGCTTTGGTCGTAATTTAAACTCTGGGAAAGTAGACCGCAGTAGTTCTCTGTGTTCTGCTAACTTGGACTCCAAGAAGTAAAGTGTGTCTTCAGTAAACCTGGGGGCAACTACTAACTCCACAATATCTTTGACAAGCATGAGAACTTCCCATGCCGTTTCCCCAGGAGGAACATACTGACCAACAAAAAATGGAAGAAGCCGAATTAGACACCAGTTCTCATGTGCATTTCCCCCAATAGTGCCTTTTGTCAAACAAGCTTTTGTAATAGGCTGTGGCTGGTCGGTTTTGTCAGTAAACGTGTACCCAAATGATCCAATATGCTGATTTAGGGTTTCTAGGTCAAAATATCCCTTGGAAATCAGATCTGAAATGCATAAAGATATCTCAACTGGGACTATGCCTTCCAAAAGATCATGCATGAGGTCAGGAGGATAACCTTTGATCACATGGAAGTGCTCCAGTTGTGCAGTCAAAGGGCACTCTTTTTTCACACCAAATGTCCGACCAAGCTCTCCATCTTCCAGAACTTTCTGCACATCTCTGTCATGTCTGTCTTTGTCTCTGAGCTCAAAGGCACCAGAGCAGACCCCTTTTTCTTGAATGTCATTTTTACTTGCCATGCAGACTCTGCACAACTTATCAACAGTGAAGCTCTCATAAAATCCTGCCAATGCATGAGCACCTAAGTTGTCAGCTGCTACATACAAAACAGTTCCTTTCACACTTGCACCTAAGGCCTCTATGTAAACACCATCTTTTTCCAGTGCAGCTATATCACGTATAAGTGGGTCCAACACTTTAGCATAACCACATTCTTTTACTGTGGTTGTGTTGCATATAAGAGCAAGCTGGATACAGTTGAGTGATGATCTATGTTTCGCTGGTATATTGGCGATTACCCAGTACACCGCACACATTTTGTGCTTCTTCTTTGATGTACCTAATGGATTGGCCACTTCAAAGTCATCTATATACAGACCAATGGCAATTGTGAACTCATCACTTGTAAGAAGGGCATTTTCTCTAAAGTAAGAACCATCTATATATGTTTTGTATTCATTTGGAACATGTGTTTCCACAGTCATTGCTTTATCCAACACATCTGTCCTGCTTAGCAATTTCTGTAGCATTTGCTGTATGGGAACATATACAACCGATTTCTTATCTTTTTCAACAACATATTCCACTGGCATTACCAATGGAAATTGTTTAGATACATAGGATGCTCTCTTTTTTGTGGTTTCTAAGGAACCATGTTTGCCACAATATTTGGTCAATATGTTGGTGTCTGAGAAAGCATTGCACACCCGTTTCACTATGGACTCATCTATCACAGAATTATAGTCCTTAAGAATCATCTTCACCTTGTGATGTAGAAGGGGCACTGACAAATCCTGTATTTCACAAAGTTGTTTGATAACTTCCTGCACAGACCGCTCAGGGATGTGGAGGATAGTCTGCATCTTTAAAAAAAGTGCTGCCAAGTTATGCTCCAACTGATTTTCCAAACAATGAAGATCTATCTCACAAGTTTCCTCATTGATATTGTCTATATCATCTGTGTCATCAAATGGCATTTGCTCATCTGTAACATCACTTTCTTTGTTTTCATCACATATGACATTAACTATTTCTTTCTTGAACATATTCCAGTTGTCATATCTATGTGCTTTGCTTTTATGTGCATTGAAAGTTGAATATACACTGCTTTCAAATCTACAGCCTGCATATGGACACTGAACCTTTTGGTTGACTCTCAAGTGGCTGCTTCTGAGATGGGTGAAAAATTCTGCTTCGGAACAAGGCTCTTTGAATTCACACAACTGGCAGCAGAATTTTACAGCTTCATTTTGTCTTGGCTTTCCTTCATCAGTTTTACCATGAACACGAGATATGTGTGCTTTTAGGCTGTTAAAGGACTTAAATGTGCACAAACAGTCCTGGTGCAAACAAGGAACTGGTACTGTTCGTGTGTGACTTCCATGTTTTAGCCGGTAGTGTTTAAAAAGCTGTGCCCTCTTCCCACTAATAAAACTGCAATATTTACACCTCCACTCCATCTTCAGTTAGCTAACGATACAATAAATAAAAAAACAATTTGAAAACACACTTTCCAAATGCTGCTCCAGGTGTCCCGCTCAGCTACACTTCAAATAGCAATCTGAGGGGGGAAAAAAAGAAAAACACTGTTAGAAAAAAGACAAAAAAGATGCAGCAACTACACAAAACGTCTTTATAATAACTAAACATCAGCTGTAGTGCACCGCTAAACTAACGGTATTTTGACATGAATAATCCCGCTTCAGAACTCCGTCGGATCCACGCACACTGTCTACTGGTGGACTGAGAACAGCCGCGCATGAACATTAGTCTAACATATTCTCTCTCAATAGACTACAGCATTAATGTAGCATCGACACGTAGCATAGCATCGTCTGTCGTGGTCTCTAGCATCCCCTACAAAAGAAAACTGCTCGCAAAACGACCGCACGGCTGCTACGTATTAGTTTATATAAATTTAATATAGTTTTTTAGCACAAACCGATTTTTTTCGTCTGTACAGCCCTGAATTAGCCAAGAAAGTGTCGGGGAAACGATAGCTAGAACTACCTTGCTAACATATCAATAGTTAGGCTACTTCATTCCCTTGCCAGTTAACATGCAACAAGTGTAAGTTTTCACTTACCGTTTTAGGACTGAATCAAAGACAAAAATATATCCTTCAACGTCAAATGTGGGTTGGATAACTTGCTTGCTCCTTCTCACACTCTCAAGTGCAGGCAGCCGCTTAGCGCTCAACAGTGCCACTGTTCAAAACAGGGTTAAACCAGATTTTTTGCGGGAGCAAAAGGCAAGCTTGATAAGTTGTTTGAACTCAAATACATACCGTAATTTCCGGACTATGCAGCGCACCTCAATGTAAGCCGTGCCGGGCTAAAAGCTGCAGATGTTTACTGAATTCAAAACGTAGTTTAACTGAACGTAACTGAACTGATCAGTATTAAAAAAAAACAAAAGTTATTGATTAGTTTATTCATCATCCTCCTGCGCACTGAAGTCATCTTCTTCAGTGTCGGGAGTAGAACAGCCTCAAAAGAGCTTCGTCCAGAGCTGTGTCCAGGACTTTTAAAATGGGGTGGCCCATGTGGGCCACTTGTTTATTCATGGGTGGCACCAATGGTTATGCTTATTTATTTATTTACACAAATTGTTTATTTATTTATTTACTTTCTAGTGAATTTTTGAGTTTCACATTGCACAATCACCATTTTTTCCCCTCTTCATCTTCTACTTTTGTGGTGGTTAGCAAGTCACTTCTTGTGTCATTACTGCCACCAACTGGAGTTGAGTGGGACTCTAAATATTATGTATGTGAATATGAAAAAATATTAAATAATATTAATACTACATACCTGGGCTAGAAAACAAGGTGAAAGGTGCATGCAACCACACACTATTTTGGAGTTTACAACCCAAGCCTTTTGTCGACAATGTAAAGTCAATTTAAACTGGAACTTAGTGGGGTGGCACCTGGGGTGGCCAATCAGATTCCAAGGGTGGCATGTGCTACCCCAAGCCACTCCCTGGACACGCCCCTGGCTTCGTCAAATACCTTTTCTGTGGCGATGTCAGTGTTGCTCTCCGTGTTGCTGTCATCATACCGGGGTGAAGCTGGGAAAACAAGCAGCGCCGTTTTGAGGTGAACAAAATCCTCCTGGGCGCTTTCCGTAGCACTCCTTTAACCCTTCATTAGACTTTCCAGCATCCATCCTTTCTGGTTAAAGCTGCACCTCATTATAAAGCCACATGGTTCAAAGCATGGGGAAAGTAGCAGCTTGTAGTCCGGAAAATACGGTAATTAGAATAAGCTAGACCATCAAAAAGTGTGTCACTCAAAATTCCTAGTTTATGTAAGACATTACTGATGTGTAAGTAATATAAACTCAATTTGTTTCAGTAGACATTGTTGATTGAACTTACAAACATGATTAGAATAAAAAAAGGACATAAAAAGTGAAGTTTAATCAAAATGAACAAGTAATGTTCACAAATTAGGCCAATTTAAGTAATATGAACTCAGTATTTTAAGTGGTGTCAAAATCCGGGTTCACAGTGTAAACAGAATCAGCTGAGATGATGGCCGGGGAGCCTCTCCGTAAGAGTTGAAGCTCAGATCACCAGAGACTGCACGGGGACAGACACCTTCTGGAGCGGCTTGTTAAAAAAGTTTAATGAGTGTGGCTTTGATCGCAATAAAAAGCAAGTTATGTCCAAGATAAACTGAAGTCCGTGGCAGCGCAGAGACCGCCCCCAAGCTCCCTTTTCACCGCCATCGCATAATCTTTTGTAAAAAGATCATGATTGCACCACATTATCCAGCAGGACGGACTGACCACTTATAAACGACCTAATGCTGCCCAGTGTGTTCTGCTTATAATTGAGGATAACCTTTTCCCATTTTATCTTGGAGCTGATCCAGTTAATGTGGAGTCATTTTCTTGCACAGAAAATTTGCATTGAGCTTTTTATATTTATCAGTAATAATTGGGTCAGTTATTCCAAGCACCAAAAATAAAGGATTATTGTTTAAATTGATAGAAGTTGTTAATCGTGACAAATCATTAGTGGCAAAGTTGCTTCCCTTTAGTAAATGATTTTACGTTTCTCAAAGCATCTTTCCATTCATCATCAGTAATGTTGCAGTTAAGTTTCCTTTCCCACAATTCCTTCAAGTAGTGGTAACAGCCTCCTCAGAGTCTTACTCCACCCACATTTCATATTTGAAAAATGCGGCCCAAAGAGGCGTTTCCTGTAAGACCGAGAAGGCGGAGCTACGGCCGTGATTGACATACTGAAATTTGAATACAGATGGCGACGGAGAGCGACACTAGCTCAGAGCAGTCATTCGAGGTGGAGGACTTTTCCCCACCTTCTTCCCCAGAGGATAGGGAGGAGGGCTTATTGGGGGAAGCAAGCGGTCCTGAACCGTATCTTTTTGAGCCACTAGCTCGTGAGTTGTCAGAGGCCCCTGGAGTCGAGCCAGCAGGAGTATCAAGGCATCGAATGGGTCCAGTCTCTGAGTGGTAAGTAGCTTTTAGCCACAGCTAGCTATATTTAGCTTAGCTAAAAGTAATATTGTATGACTGCCTCGACAGGTGCACCTGCGGCCACTGCACATCATTGTCTGCCAGAGAAAATGTGTGCTGCAGAGAAACGCCCAAGGTATAAAAATAAAAGTACCCCACCATGAGAAAAGCATTCTGTAATGTACACATTTGTTACACAATCACTAACATCATACTAATATTGAACTCTTATAGACCTGATATCAGTTGTTCTTTGTCATAGGTAATGCTCAGGTGTCAGCAGGTGGGTGTAACCTCCTGCATAACAGAGCATCCTGGTTTTGAGGCTGTTGCTCTGAATCCCTACGTGTTGCAGGCAGTTTATGGCACCTTTCTGCAACTCTATGGGGAGATGCAGGAGACTACGCTCAACAGGTAAGACAACTGTCAAATTACTTTTTTTATGAATACTTTATAACTCATACCACCTCTTTCTCAGCTGTTACAGACATCTGGCGTACCGGAATGTGGTCAGGTGGTGTTGGGGTTACCTGGGACAGCACGTTCGTGTTGTGATCCCGTCATGCGCTGTCTCCAGAATAAGGCAGGAGTTCCCAGAAGACGGTGCATACAAAGGATTCCTCCCTCCTCTGAACTAATATATATTTTTTTGATTAAATAAATGTTATAATATATATTTCCTGTATTGATTCCTGTCCATAAAAAGCTGCATAAATCACAAAACGGTAAATGCACTTCTTTACACTTTGACATTATTTATATATACACACATATAGCCACATACTTTCAAATGAGCTCTTACAACAGTAAGGTTCTAATTCGGGGTTAATTAATGCTGCTGTAACAAGTGAGTTTACACCCTGTGTGATTAATGAAGTCTATTCTAGAGCAGGTTCAATTAGGTAAAAATGAATGATAATAAATGTGATATATGTATTTATACACATCAAAATATCAATATAATTGTATTTAAAAAGACACAATTGCGCTTTAAAGATAACATTTATTATAGCTACTACTAAGACAACGTTAGATAACAATCTGATCATAACTTTCAAGATTTTTGACAAAACTAAACCACAAGCAGAGATTCTGGAGCCATGTGAGGAGAGGTTGGGCCAACAGTGATGTTTCATAGGTTCCTTAGACTGGAGGTAGCTTTCACTGTGATGACAAACGTGGAGATGGATCCCGGGAGCACAGGTTTTTCTGTTACAAGATCAGGAGGCTCTAAGGAAAAAGTAATATTAGTATGACTAGTATGACTTACAAAAGCAAGACTGGTGAGTTTTGCTATGTTACATACGGCCAAGATTTTCAAGTTGTATGGGAGCCACAGAGCAGAAAGGTTGTAGAGGTCAATAGACATCTGGGAGGTGGACAGCATGAGTCACGAGTGGATGAGCATAAAGATCCATAATGACGACAGGTAACTCCTCTGTCGTACAGTGGTGTGCAGCCTGGCTGAGGAGGAGAAAAGGAGAAACCACACAGAGTAGAGTACTAACTAATAATTACAATCTCCTGTGTAGCTCACCTGACGTGCACTTTAAAACCTGGACCTGTGCCTGCTCACAGCATCCCGTTTATCTGGTCTTTGGAACTGGGCACAGAGCGGTTCTGGAACCGTAATTTTGTCCGAGTACTCCTGATATGGGAGAGGATCCACCACCACAGAGTCGAACAGCAGGTCCATAAGCTTGTGCACATATACTGGAAAAGGGTTTTCAGTATTACAATAGCTCTCCATGACCATCATTTTGGTTTTATCATACAATATACAGGTGCTGGCCAGTAAATTAGAATATCATCAAAAGGTTGAAAATATTTCAGTAATTCCATTCAAAACGTGAAACTTGTACATTATATTCATGCAATGCACACAGACCAATGTATTTCCAATGTTCATTACATTTAAATTTGATATTCATAAGTGACAACTAATGAAAACTCCAAATTTGGTATCTCAAAAAATTAGAATATTCTGAAAAGGCTGAATATAGAAGACACCTGCTGCCACTCTAATCAGCTGATTTACTCAAAACACCTGCAAAGGCCTTTAAAAGGTCCCTCAGTCTTGTTTTGAAGGCACCACAATCATGGGGAAGACTTCTGACTTAACAGCTGTCCAAAAGACAATCATTGACACCTTGCACAAGGAGGGCAAGACACAAAAGGTGATTGCTAAAGAAGCTGGCTGTTCGCAGAGCTCTGTGTCCAAGCACATTAACAGACAGGCGAAGGGACGGAAAAAATGTGGTAGAAAAAAGTGTACAAGCTCTAGGGATAACCGCACCCTGCAGAGAATTGTGACGACAAACCCATTCAAAAATGTGGGGGAGATCCACAAAGAGTGGACTGCAGCTGGAGTCAGCGCTTCAAGAACCACCACGAGGAGACTCATGAAAGACATGGGATTCAGGTGTCGCATTCCGTGTGTCAAGCCACTCTTGAACAAGAAACAGCGCAAGAAGCGTCTCGCCTGGGCCAAGGACAAAAAGGACTGGACTGATGCTGAGTGGTCCAAAGTTATGTTTTCTGATGAAAGCAAGTTCTGCATTTCCTTTGGAAATCAAGGACCCAGAGTCTGGAGGAAGAGCGGAGAAGCACAGAATCCACGTTGCATGAGGTCCAGTGTAAAGTTTCCACCGTCAGTGATGGTGTGGGGTGCCATGTCATCTGCCGGTGTTGGCCCACTCTGTTTCCTGAGGTCCAGGGTCAATGCAGCCGTCTACCAGGAAGTTTTAGAGCACTTCATGCTTCCTGCTGCTGACCAACTTTATGGGGATGCAGACTTCACCTTTCAACAGGACTTGGCACCTGCACACAGTGCCAAAACCACCAGCACCTGGTTCAAGGACCATGGTATCCCTGTCCTTGATTGGCCAGCAAACTCGCCTGACCTTAACCCCATAGAAAATCTATGGGGTATTGTGAAGCGGAGGATGCAATACGCTAGACCCAACAATGCAGAGGAGCTGAAGACGACTATCAGAGCAACCTGGGCTCTCATAACACCTGAGCAGTGCCACAGACTGATCGAGTCCATGCCACGCCGCATTACTGCAGTTATTGAGGCAAAAGGAGCCCCGACTAAGTATTGAGTGCTATACATGCACATTCTTTTCATGTTCATTCTTTTCAGTTGGCCAACATTAGAGAAACAAACATTTTTTCATTGGCCTTTAGAATATTCTAATTTTCTGAGATACCAGATTTGATGTTTTCATTGGTTGTCACCTATAAATATCAAATTTAAATGTAATGAACATTGGAAATACATTGGTCTGTGTGCATTGCATGAATATAATGTACAAGTTTCACGTTTTGAATGGAATTACTGAAATATTTTCAACCTTTTGATGATATTCTAATTTACTGGCCAGCACCTGTATGACATACATGAGGTTGGATTGGTCTTCAGGGCTCTCACTGTGTAGTCTCCACGTTTGTACTTTGGGTACACTACAGCATATCTCAGCTCACCAGTTGCTGTTGCTGCATGTGAGCGTGCTGCATTTTCATTATAGTGCATTGCAGCAATTTGTAATCTGAAATAATCAAATAAACAAACCATGTAGATTTGAGGCAAAATTCTACATTTCATGCTAAAATTTGAACAATTAGAGGCATTAATTTGAACATTTGTTGTATTCATTACCTAGACAGCATTCCTTTGAAGGAGAAGACTTGACTTTTTGGAGTAAATCTGATGATGAGACTGTGGAAAGCCTCCAAGGTGGATGTGTGGTACTGAGGGCTTATCTTCTCTACGTCCTTCACAAACCGTGGAGCTAACAGAATGGCAGTGAGCTTCTCACATGATGCTGTGCCTACGTAGAAAATGTTAATTACAAAAATTACAATTTGATCAACTTTAGAATGTTGCTATTATTTCCATTGAGAAAAAGTTACCCATAGCTGACATTTTTAGATGACAAATGTATGAAAGAGTGACTAATAGTGCTGTAGACAGGTGTGGTCATTACTTACGGCATTTTAGTACATATTATGTCAATTATGGCTGTTCTGCCTAAAACCATGAGTTGTGTGGCGCACTCTTCTGTTTAAATTTCTGCACAGCATTTTATTCTTAGTAATTAATTGCTGTTGGCCAAATGGTGGTGTGTGACCTTAGCAGCTACATGTGATGTCTGTTACTCACATGCTCAAAAAATATTTCTCCATGTTGAAGGAGGTGAAGACAAATATTCTGTTGTGGGGTGACGTGTTTTAAATGTAAATAAACCAAACAGTAAAGGCTCAGCTGTAATGAGTACATGCTACACTTACTTGGTTTGAGCCACTGTCTTGCCTGTTCTCCATCCAGAGGTGCATGCAGACAGCTAGGGAACAGGGCGTTGTCATGGCTGTGCACATTTTGGATGTGGTTGGCAACTGAAGTCCACTTTGCAACTGCCTCCTGTCCTGAGGAGGAACTGGATGCTGACCAGTAGAGGTGGTTCACCACACTTTGCTTCCACAGTCTCACATCCTGGGTCGTCTTTCTCTTCCCCAGCTCTTCGATTTTCTTACCAATTCCTGGAGAGCCAAATAGACCCACATTTAAAATAGAAAAAAAAATCCTGTAATATTCACTATATACATCCCCAAAGATTACCTTTTCCCATGTGCCAGGGGTCAAAGTAGTGACTGATTTCCTTTTTTTCCTCCCTCAAATACTTCTGCACTCCTGTGTGGCGGTCAGTCACGACTTGCTGCACATCGACCCCCCTCTCCAAAAGTGTGCTCAGACTTCTCACAAATCCCTCCTTCTCCATTCGCACACTATTCCCAACTTCATTGCTCTGAAAATAAACATAATTCTCCATTGATCTGTGAATAATTAACCATTAAATGTTTTGGAATCATCAGGTAATGTTGTACCTGTACAAGTTGGATATCAATAACTTTGTTTCTTTTGAGATCCATCATGGTGTAGCTGCCATATTTGGCTGAATGTCCTTCAAGAAATGCAAGTTATTACTTAATTTACATTTGATAGCAAAGGAATAAAATAAATAAATTTAAACGTATTCACCAGGTGAATCAGCTCGCATGTCACCACCAAGAGTCACAGGTCCAGATTCAGTAGCCTCCTGGATGATATCAGCTTGCTCTAGCTGCCACTGCCAGCTCACTGTTGGAATTAAGAGCTTTGCCTGATGCCGACAGAATGACTGCTTGGACAGTCCCTGCACATTGAAGGCACCCAGGAACTAAAATATGAAAAGTTACGACATGAAATGAGAGACGCACAGACCTTATCAAAACTAACCTAAACAGTTTTGGCCTATACCTTAGAAATCTGGCTAAATGATGAGCCTGTGAAAAGGACAGCAGCACAGAGCTGGAGGTTTCCTGCTGGGATGCTGTTCACCATGGGCTGACTGGACCATTCATTGTAGTGCTCACAGCATGAACACCGTTGTGTCACACGGAGCAGTGTGCCGACTGTTGTCGTGTTCACAACACAACGACCGGTACAAACGGGACACCTTCTGAACAGCCCCAGCAACTGTTTCTCATGAACAATGTACTTCTTGTCCTTTTGTGGATGGACCTCAGTGAAAGAGCTGTATAGAACACATACATTTATATATATGGTCATAACTAAAAAATTCTAAAATGTTATAATTTTTTTTTACCTTGAACAGTTCACTGAGCTTGCACTGTCATTGAGGTGGAAGCTGGGATCAACAACAGACACCTCATATCGTGGTCTTTTCAGGGGTGTGTACGCAGCTCTGGGACTTTGTGGAAGATGAATTTCCGTCACGGTACCTGTGTCACAAGACACACTGCGGCTGGGAGCTCTAAACTGTGTGGCTATGTAAAATACAAAGAAGCAGCACATTTATAAATGTTTAAAATAGCATAAAATCACGTGTAACAATAATCTGTAAAACAAATTAAAACTAGAAGGTAATAATAAAATGTTTACATAGAAGATTATTAAAAATAATTCACCTTTGCTACGTCGATAAGGCTTTACATGAGCCTGGACAAGTGCATTTTTGCAGATTACTAAATCAGTCTGACAGCCAACGTCTTGGGTAGATTTAGCCTGAAACAAAAAATAGAAGCACATTGTTGTTGGAGTTTATAAAGTCATATAATATACAAAAGAAACTGTCCAATATATATATATATATATATATATATATATATATATATATATATATATATATATATATATATATATATATATATAGGCGCTTTATAACATTCCTAGTGTGTGATCGTTATTATAATGTCAAAGTCAGTCACATATGATGTGAAGAACCTGAAATGCGACCTCCTGAACAGAATTCCTCACAGAACCGGGTTAGGCTTTGGTGTAAAGCTGGATTTCACGCTGTAATGATGTCTGTCAACTAGTGCTGCGTTAGAGCCACTGTTGCTGAATTACCGACTGACACAAAAACAACCCGAATTTTCTCCGAGCCTGACAGAAATAGTCAAGTGGACCTTTTTTGTCGGCCAGGGCTTTGAGAAATGTTCCGATTCGCCGCTGATTCTAACCTTACATCCCGTTCCACATTTTGTGAACTTGACAAATTAGCCCGAAGGCAGTGCAGGCTGATATTAGCAAAATGGAGTGAACAACGTCTCTCAAACTTTGCATTTAGGTAGGAAATTGTCTTTAGAAGATGCTAACTTTTATTTAGCTTACTCACCTCAGACTGGAGCCCGCCATGGTGGGGGAGCAGAGTCGGTGGGCTGCATCTAATTCGTGGAAGAGCCACGGTGGGCACGGCCTCCCTCTTCAAACGGAGACGTGCAGAATAACCCAGTTCAAACTCCATCATGTTGGCGAAGGAATCGCGGGTAAAATGCTGGTTGCAGACTACAGCACCAGGCGGGAGCTGACTGTTTTCCAGTACACCGATTGCGCGCAACCACTGGCGCCTAATTTCTAAGTCCAGTGGAAAGGAGTGCAACCCCACAGAGCCACCACAACCAACTACACTACACCTTTTAACCATACTAACACGATATGGAACACTAAACCTGAATTACTTTCCTAATAAAACTAACAGCTAAACACTAACTAAACTACAATATCTAACAGCCAAGCTAACACTAAATAAGTATGTATAACACTAAAAGCTATGCTAAAGACTAGAATATGCTAATGATATATGCTAACGATATGGAACACTAAACCTGAATTACTTTCCTAATAAAACTAACAGCTAAACACTAACTAAACTACAATATCTAACAGCCAAGCTAACACTAAATAAGTATGTATAACACTAAAAGCTATGCTAAAGACTAGAATATGCTAATGATATATGCTAATGCTGAACTACCGCTAACCGTCCTACACTCGCTTGCAAATCCAACTCCCAACTCGCCACAGGGCGTGGCCGAGACTCTCGTTGCTTTATAACTTTGGCACAAGAGCTGCTACGTAGTACTCTACTGGTTTACGTAGTATCTTACTCTTTAGCCATTGGCTAAAATTTATTCAAAATGTGTCAAATTCTGTGTTTTAAGCTGAAGGTGGCGCATTACTGTGGTTTTTAGGCTGAAAAATTAATTTTTAAAGAAAATGCACCAAAATGCTAAAATAATGAATACACACATTTAAAACACTATTAGACACTCATTTATACAGTTCATCAGCAAAAAAAAGTTAATTTAGACGTTACTTGCTCTTTCAAGGTTTCCCTAAATTGTGACATTTTGATGTATTGTAAAATGTGTGGGAAAAGTCCTTGTTTGAAACACTGAATTTTCTAATTGGTTGATTAAGTAAGGTCAAGGTTAAGTTTTCCAAAGAGATTTTGTGTTTTGGATATTCCTTTGTTAGTCCAACTTTTCCTGCCATTATTCTAGGTAAAAATAAAAAAAATCACCATTATCTCAAATTTGTTAAATGATGTTATCTTGTACTAATGGCACATATGTTTACTGAATTCTTCCGCTTCATGATGATGTGATTTACTATAACATTAACATAATGGATTTAAATTGTATTGGTTTCTTTGTCTACATCTACCACATCTCATCTTTATAGTCCAATCTTTGAAGTCTTCAATTTCAAATAAATAAAAATGTGGTCTCATAGAAAACAAAGTTTTGGCTGGATTTAGCTGGAGTTTGACATATATTTGTATTTTAGCTGCAAACTGGGACAAGACTCTCTCCAATTTAGACAACCAGAGTGAAGTTAATGACTCAACCTTCCATCCTGCTGGGCTACCAGAGTCACCAATCAATACTAATCCTGCAGGATCAAATGGTAAACATTGATCTTTGAAAGTAATAAATGCTTGTGTATGTATTTGGCTTATGTTAGATAATTTCTCATTTGCTGTTTTCAGACATCTTCCAGTGTGATGCACAGAATCCTGCGCAGACATCAGAACGGTGTTCTGTTCCAGTAGGACCTGGTGGTGTGCTTCTCATTTTGTAAAAGCTCTTTAAATTTAATTGAATTTTGCAGTCAGTCACTTGCAGATTCTGAATGCCATGAATGTTAAAGGTTGAGAGATATAAGCAACTGACTCAGACTTATTTAATTGACTTCCCACCAGACATTTCCCAGTCAAGAGCAGAGGGTCCTGTGATATTCTTCTGGTGTTTTTTCCACACACAAACATATTTTAACCTGATATTTGTGGCTTTGCAAAATAAATTGAATGCTAAAATTTCTCAAATGCTGTGTGTGGTTGTATTTTGTCAATGTACAGTAAAAATTGATGTACAATTGCATTGATGTTTTTCAACATGGTGTTGGGGTAAACTGTATCTACCATACAAAACTGGGAATAGTATGCAAGTATGTTGGACTGTTCGTGGCCCCTCTATAAATATTGTGGCCCCTTGATGGCCCCACCCTCAGAAAAATCCTAGATCCGCCACTGGTGTCTATGAAGAACAGGAAGGGGACTGGGGTGGGGAGGGGTGCGGCGGGGGAATTCACCTCTGCGTCTTTCCCAAATGAAATGAGCGTGCAGGGGCTGAATCAACTGTATTAACATGGCTAAAGTCAATCACATCTTAACGTTCTTCCATTTTTCATTCATAATATCATAAACACAGGCCTTTCATTCTTTCAGGTTTCTCTGAATTGTGTGAAATGGCCGAATAAAAAAAGGAAAAACAAAACGATTTTGTGGTCACCCCCCATCAAGGTCAAATAGTTTAGTCCTGACTAAAGGAAACTTACTGAGTCAGGAGCCAAACAGAAGAGATGAACATAAAAAGGCTAAAACCACCAGTTGCCCCATTCAGGGGGAAAAAAAAGAAAAAAGAGGAGAAAGATAAAGGTATGTAGCTCTCATGATGCATGTTTTCAATTTTTTGAACCAGTTAACTGGGATTTTAACGGTTAAATGTGGTCAACTAATTGCTAACAGAGCTAATAGGGCTGAAATATTGAAACGAATATTCAAATGGTTCGAAAAAAGTCCTTGAATCGTTTTTTACTGATTCAAACTAGGATTTGTTAAATGCTCGCTGCAGCCTGTGGCCTGCCTGAACAACAACAAACACATGTTGATCATGTTCACATAATAATAAATAAAACAACTCTACAAGCAGAAGAAAACTCCCCAGTCACCACTAACTATCCTGTTTATTTATTGCAGATGGCTGCACTGATTATTTTTTTACATGATTTGTTCTGTAAAAGTTGGCATTTTTGGTAGTCTACAGTTTTTTATGTCAGTTTAAATTACAATTTCAGAGGCCATTCTAAAATATTATGGATCATGAGATCTATTGGAGATCTACCCCAACTTTTGGACTGCTCTGCCAGTCTCTGTGGCTCAAGCTGAGAGGAGCTTTTCAAAACTTGATCAAGTCATACCTGAGGTCACCTATGTTTCAGGGGCGGCTCACTAACCTGTCTCTGATTAGTATCAATCACTCACTAGGGGAGCAGATTTCATATGATGACATTATTGATGACGTTGCATCAAGGTTAGGTTTTAATTTTAGTTTGTGTTTTCTGTTCTAAGTGCAATGCTGTAGTGATTATCTTTAGTTTGTTATGTGTGAAATATTTTTGCTATTTAGACTATTTATTATATATTATGTTCATATATTCTTAATATTTAGTTATTGTTTGTTTTTGTATATTTGATTCTATATATTTTGATACAGTATATAATGTATATTGCTTTACATTCTGACAACTTCATAGTAATTAATGTAAATATGTGCAACTTAGAAAAATGAATGTTCAATAGTCGTTCTAATAAAACATGCCTGTTTGTAGAAAACATGCGTGTGTTCATGCAGGTGGGGTGGTGTGGTGGTGGTGGTGGGGGGGCGGTTGGGGGTGGGGGGCGCTCAAAGGGGGCCTCGCCAGGGGAGTAATTCGATGTAGAACCGCCACTGCTCATCAGCTTCATCAAATTCTTCCCCATCTCTCCATGCCTCCCTTGCCCGAGAATCCGTTTCAACGGATCAACAAACAGCCAATGAGTTGCTAGAGTCCACCAGCACACCACGACCTGCTCTCAAAAAGAGGCGGCGCCAGCAGCATGTGGATGACAGCTTTTCTGAACAGATGGCCCGAATTGACAAACGTAGGAAAGAACTCAGTGAGATACTGCAGAAGGATGATGAATATGACAGGTTTGGGCAGGTTCTAGCGGACCTACTGAGGAAGGTCCCTGAACATAAGCAGGTGGTGGCCAGGCGCAACCTTTTAGCATGTGTGTGCGACCTTCTGCGACCTTCTGGAGAATTGAAATGTGTTTGTGTTGAAAGTTTTTTTATTAGCATGTTATTATTTTTATTCCTAGAAGTGTTTCATTTGCATGCTTCTTTTCTATTAAAAGCGAAGTCTGTTTTCTTCCACTTTCCAGTTTTGTTTGTCATTTTCAGTTATTTGGCATCAGTTTGCACACAGTATTATTTCGCACTCATTGACTAGGCTCCAAAAAGCAGATAAACACAAATTCTTGAAAAAATGATTCATACCCCAAGATAATGTCAGGTTTTCAGTTGAGATTTTTTAAAGGTTTTATTCACTCAGCTTCAATTTGTAGTTAATTCAACTAGCACTTGCACAACAACATATGAGCTGTACAATCATGTAAACATCAGTTAACAAAGCACCAGAAAAATGGACCTGGTGAACAGCAATAAAAAGAAAACAGAACAGTACCACCAGGCACTGATTACGATGGACAACATCTAGTCTGCGAGTGTGCCACGTGACACAGTCTCCTCCTGCCAGGACACAGCTCCTGCTGGTGACAAAAAGAATTGTGCCAGTTCATTTCTCACACAAACGGCATTCCTGTTTGAGCGGCTCTTGCTCATCATCTTTGTGTTGACCGGTAGCAGATTGGAGTCACCCGCCACCATTCTCCGCCAATCTCCAGGGTGCGCCACTCCTGCCGAGTCGCTGTCAGCAAAAGTGGGTGGGATGTATCGGCTCTCTGGTGTGTTCGCATTGTCACTGTATGCCAGGTAGTTGTGGAGAACCACACACGCCTTCACAACCTTGACCGCTTTATCTGGGTGGAACTCGATGGCCCTCCCAAGAATTCGCCAACGCGCTGCTAGGATCCCAAAGCTGTTCTCAATGACACGCCGGGCTCTGGAAAGGCGGTAATTGAAGATAAGCTTATCCTTGTCCAAATTATGTCCTGAAAATAAAAACAGCAGCATTGAGTGTTATTAAACAGAACATAACCACAACTTAACACACATGACACACTTATTTTAAATGTGAAACATATGGCTAGTCGCATACCTGGAAAAGGTCGCATTATGTTGATGTGCAGGTGGAAGGCAGCATCAGCAACTAGCACGTGTGGTGCTTCAGTCCTGGTTCCAGGGAGAAACGCAGGAGGTGGCAGGTTCAACTTGTTGTTCAGGAGTGTTGAACCAAAGTCACTTTCTTTAAACACACCACCATCACTTTCCCGTCCATACCCACCGACGTCCACCATCGTAAATCGATAGTTGGCATCACATGTTGCCATCAGCACAATGGAGTGAGTGCCCATGTAATTTTGAAGTAGTCACTCCCTGCATTTGGTGGGGCTTTGATGGTCACATGTTTGCCATCCAGGCTCCCCACACAGTTTGGGAAGTTCCAAAGACACCAAAAATCTGCTGCGATGACTGCCCACTGGTTAGTTGAAGGACATGGCAGGTAATCTGGTTGGAGTGCTTCCCACAACGCGCTGCAGACCTCAGAAACAATCATCGACACTGTGCTGGATGCCATTTTGTAGCTGGAAGCCACAGCCTGTTGACTGCTACCAGAACTCAAAACACGCAGAGTCACGGCCAGTCTCTGGGCAACATTGATCGGTATGCTGTGTGTCCCCTGGTGATGTATCAATGGTTTCAATCGCCGAACCAGCTCATCAAATCTGTCAACCGACATACGGAAATACCTGAAATGCATTTCTGCATCCATGTCCCTCAAAGGTTGCACAAGTCCAGAAAATTCGCCTGTTGTCGGCCTAGGCCTGTTTAGCGGACGGACATCCCACCGACGCCGCTGTCTCCTTTTATGTTCACGCTAGTATTTCAGCAGGATAAGCATTTCTTCATCTAGGTAACACTGTTCCAACTCGATCAAACTTCTCTGTCTCTTGTTGCTCGCCATTTTTCAGACTGCGAAAGTGATTTCCAAGGAAATAGTACGTCACTGTACGCTACGCCCTCTGTTGCCCTGGCGGAGAATTGCTTTGCAACACCCCTGCAGCAAAGGGAGAAGTATGAGAGCAAAACGCCTCCGTCAATCCGTGCGTGTCTGTCCCTTGCGGAGCTGACGGAGAAGCATAAACTAGGCTTTATTCTACGTGAGTGCGATGTAATCTTAGCATCCAGGAAATAAAGTCCCATATCAGCTCAAATGCAGAGTGACAAAGTCATTAAAGTGCGGCAACACAGTGGATTTAATAGAGTTTTAAAGAACAATCTCTGAGTGAAGTGAGGTTAGTTTTTTGTCTCACTGCAGATATAAAAACTAACTCTGCATCAGTCAGACGCAGCAAAGCTCACTGTCTGTATGAGCGTGAGTGTCGGAAAGCTGATAAAATCGGCTGTAAAATAATTAAAACAAAAGTAAAAATGCTCCTTTGCTTTTCAGAGTCCACATCCAGAAGGCTGGAGCCGTGTTTCACTGACAGGCTGTCAGACTAAAGCCCTGATGAGCTCAGCTGGGACAAACTGGTTTGATGTTTAGGTAAGTGAAGATCTGGTTCAAGACCTTGAAATGCTAGTAAAAAATAATTTAGCCAGCTTGCTAATGTTACTTTTCTTCTCCTCTAAAGCCTGATTTATGCTTCTCCGTCTGCATCAGTGCGGAGACACGCAACGCCATTATCCATCCTTGCATAGGGCTCCGGCAGGCACGCAAGTACGTACGGAGTCGAGCCCACTTGTTTAAACATCCGTCGAACGAGATGGATTACGCAAGCTTGTGATTGGTCAGGACGCCGCTGTTGTTTACAGTGCCGCCATTGCAAAGAGAGCCGAGGATAACTAGCGGCAGACACGGAGAAGCTTGAAGACTACCTCGCGAAAAACTCTAAAATTTAGGGCTGGGACTTGATTAAACATTTTAATCTAATTAATTACAGGCTTTGTAATTAATTAATCTCAATTAATCGCATTTTAATCGTTCAGGAAAATGTGCTCTCAAAGTAAAACTTTTAATTAAAATGTTGAGACAGAGAATCAAACATTAGACATGGTTATTACTGTAAACTAAAGCTTTTAATAAAAAAAATGCATTTTAATTATTCAAATGTCACTGTGTGATATGAAACAAAACCCAAATCAACTAAAATTTATAATTACAAATAGAAGGTTCCTGAGCCTTTAAATAGTCTCTCTGTCTAGTTGATTGACTGAAATAAATGTGACTTTGCACCAGATTCAAATTTTTCCAGTTTCACTTGTGTGTATAATTGGGAGTTTTTATTAGCATTTCTACTCATAATGTAGTAAAAACACATAAATAATAATCCTTCAAAATGACAGTAGAGCAGGAACAAATATGATCTAGGACTTAAATGTACTAACTTTTAATACCAGAGCAGGCGTGACATATTCTGAGAATGATCAGGAACACTAACTGGTTTCAGTTGGATGACTGGAGGTTGATGGGATGATAAAAGATCATGGCGAGGAAATAATGATCTGACGAACAGGTGAGCGGACCTTCCTTACGTGGGAAGTCCTGATGTTAATAAGGGGATGCTGCAGACCTGCAGATTCACGCCTGCAGCAGCGAATCTGGTGTGATCTCCAGCCTGATCACAACTTTCTCGTTCCTCGCTGCCCTTGATGTACTTAAGCATCCGACAGCTTCAAAACACCTCGCAGCGTAATGATAGTAATGCATGTGATGTTTAGACAGTGACTCGTCTCAGAAACATAATACCCCGACAGCATTGTTTAGAAAATCATCAGAAAAGTTTCAGAGTGTTTCTGTTTTAACTTAAACTTCTGTTTTCAACTTTAAGACACGTTGTTTTTGACTGTTTACAGAGTAGTGAGAACACGGAGCGTTCTCCCAGCGGCAGCCAGGTGCCTCTCGTTTGTCTGACAACTTTCATAAACTACTGTTAGGGCACAGAATTATTCTATCTGGTGCTTTCAGCGCTGCACAGATGTTACGTAAATGTTAAAAATATAGCTTACCGCAACTTTTGTAAGTTTACAAATGTCATATTTCCCACTTTTTGGGACAATAAAACATTTCTGGTTCTCAATGAGATGTTTTTACTTCAAATGTAAAAACATCTCATTGAGAATCAGAAATGTTTTATTGTCCCAAAAGCTGGGAAATTTGTTTGCTGCAGCAGAAGTGTAACAAGTAAAATGGAATCAGATTGATGTATGTACAAATTTACTTAAAATACACATTTACGTGATTAAATATGTATAATAGGTATGTGTGTTGAAATTAGTTTTTACAGTTATTGCACATTAAACAATGTACATGTTATTAAACAAATGTCCCGGTTTGTGGGACAACCAAGGATTTCTGATTCTGACTGTCTTGTTTACAGAAATGTAATGTACAGCTTACCTCTGCACCCAGCTGCTGTTCTCCCTGTCCAAACGTCCTCCGTTTCTTTGTTGGCTGCTGCACTGATGCGCTGCATTCCTCAGTCAGAGAATGAATGGAGTCCCCAATGAGACACAAGTTCCACATCCACCTTCTGTGGATCCCAGCCGTTTTGAATAACAAACACAGAAAGCAAAATAACGCATTAGCGTGATTGCATCCAGCTAGCCACTGCTTCCTGGTGTACCAATTTTGGGAGAAGCCTCGTGTGTACAGTTTACCCTTCTCCTTGTCCTGCTGGCTTATCTTTACGTCGGGCTGATCTGGTCCAAGCTCTTTGACATTAAGTTTTTCCACCATAGTTCTCCTCTCGAACGGATACTGGAGAAGAGACCGAACTGAATTCAGTGGCTGCTGAGATCCGGTATCCATGTTGTAGGCGCACTGGCGTCCATGTCTACGTCTGCATCATGACCGTCACGAGTCACGACCAAATACGTGCTGGAGTCGAGACTCTCCGAGTTCTACCGAACACCAACGAAACCCTTGGCGGTAGCTCTATCGCCCATCATGCTTCTGAAACGTTCTGAAACAACGTCGACGCTGATTGGATACATTCCCATTCCTACCCTTTGATTTTCTTGTCAGCAATTGGACAGCTGGTCTCGTCCTGTTTGGGCGATTGAAAAATAGCACACAGCCTCCACCGCTCGGCAGAGACCGGCAGAGATCGGCAGGGACCAGCAGAGACCAATATATATATATATATACATATATATATATATATATATATATATGATTTATTTTTGTTACAAAACACACAATTAACTTAGAATATGTGATTATTGTTAATTTTATTTATTTATTTTTTAAAATAAAAATTAAAAACACAGGGGAAACTGGGAGGGCGGCGCCCTATCGCCCTCTACTGGCCAGCCGCCACTGCTGCTGACCGCACCTGGAACGTAGGAAGGTGGAGCAGGTAGCTGACCACACAGCCTCTCCCAGTTGTTTGCTATCGAAAATCTCAAAGAAAAGACTAGAGGGATGCCCAAGATTTCAGCAGTTAAATTGCTTCCAGAATAGATGGGATCAGCCAGGAGAACGTCATAGTTTCCCTTCCTCAGCTTCTTCATGATGGGCTCTGATTTCACCACACCACCGTCCAAAAACTGGAGGGAAATCTCAGTGTTGATCTTGAACAATTCCATGTATTTGATGTAAAGCTGAAAGTAGTTCAGCAGCAGATTGCATGGAGTCACCCACTTTTTGTGTCAGAGGCTTTCCAGCAATCCCCACACTAAGCAAGCATGTTTCTATGTTAAAGAAAGCTGCATCAGTTACTCACTCACTCACACCCAGAGACATGTTAGGGTCACTAGTTAACCCTACGTGTGTGTGGGGGGAACCGGAGCGCCCGGAGTAAACCCACGCATTCATGATGGGGAACTAATTCTCCATCAGGAAGCCCCTATTTTTCTGGTGTGCTTGTGTGTGCTCTAAGGGGTGTTGCATCTAAGATTAGATATTCACTCACTCACTCACTCACTCACTCACTCACACAAAAATGTCTAAATTTAGAGAATGCTAATGCTAATTTTCGTGAGGTCACAGCTGGGGTTTAAACTGGTGACATCATCATGAAGCCTGAGTGTTTTGGGGGTCAGATGCTAATTTAAGGCCTAACTTTATGTTTCCGTAGACACGCCGGAGTGAGAAACTTCTTGAAGCGCCTCCACAATGAAACGTTCTGGTTCCTGACTGTTTGTGGAACGCTGTCTTTGGGGGAAGGCTCGTTTTCATGAAGACTTCTGCTTGCTTCCACTGAATCTATCTGTTCTGCAGGTGGAGAGCAAACATCATGTCCCATCTCGTAATCCTCGTCAGGCTCCAGACTCTCAGAAGTTTGTTCCTGAGGTTCACATAGAGAAGCTTCCTCTACCAGCTGGTACGTAAAGGCTTCCAGCTCCTCAGACAGCTCATCGTCTGGCTCAGGCGTGTTCTTCCTTGAGTTAAAGGTCTCCAGTTGTTCTGAGAGATCGTGGTTGATTTTCTCCAGATCTCTAATTTGTGTCTGTAAGTCCTCGTTGAACGAGTCCTTGTTCTGAATCTCCTGTCCCAGCCGGAGTTTCATCTCTGACTCCTGTTTTAAACGCTGTTGCTGGTCTTCAATCAGATGTTCTCGTTCCTCCAGCTGAGTTTTGAGAGTCTGAATTGTTATTTTGAAGGTCTCTGCATTACTCTGGTAGTAATCCAGTCCCTCTTCTAGATCACTAATTTCTACCTTTAATTTCTCATAAACTTTGTCTTTGTTCTGGATTTTCTGCTGCTGATCAAACTTGGATCTCAGCAGCTCAGATTCCCGTCTGAGTCGCTTTTGGAGGTTTTCCAGCAGATTATCTTTCTCCTTCAGCTGTAAGTTTACCTCTTGCATCATTTTGTTGCAGGACTCTTCCTCACCTCGGTAATAATCCAGTTTCTGTTTGAGTTCATCAATCAGAGTTCTGGATTTTTTACACTCGCTCTCTACCGTTGAGCTTATTTCAGCTTGGTCACTGAGACTTGTGTCCAGGCGAGACAGCCGTAGGTGTTCGGAGCCGACTGTCTGGAAAAGGGAATCGAAAGTTGGATGCCGACATCCAGGCGACTCCTGCTGGACTGGCTCAGCTAATCTGAGACTCGGTCCCAGCTGAGTTTTGTCCTCTGAACTGGGTTCACATTCCCCACAGAGAGAAGCCTTTTCTCCGTCCTCCTCAGAAAGCTTCTCCTCTGCCTCGTTCGTCTCAGAGAAGATACTTTTCATCTCGTCTACCAGAACCCCGTTTATAATCTCTAAATCTCTGATTTGTTCATCTAAAGCCTCGGTGAGCGAGTCTTTATTCTGTTTCTCCTCTTCCAACTGCAGTCTCAGCTCTGACTCCAGTCCTAACTGGTTTTGCAAACTTTCAGAAACATTTAGTTTTTCCTCTAACTTAATTTTCAAAGCCTGAATTGTAGTTTTGCAGGTCTCAGCGTTAAGCTGGTAGTAATCCAGACGCTCTTTCAGTTCATTAATTTCTTCTCTTAGTTTCTGATGAACTTTGTTCCTAATCTGGTCGTTCATCTTCCCCTGTTCAAATCTACGTCTCAGCTGGGATTCCTGCTTTAAAAGATTTTGCAGATTTTCACACACAGTTGCTTTCTTCTTCAGTTTGGTCTCTAAAGTCTGCAGGGTGACTTTGCAGGTCTCTGCGTTGTCTTGATAAACGTCCAGTTCTTGTTCCAGGACGGTAATTATGTCGTTGTATTTTTCCAATTCAGTCTCTGCTTGTAATGTTTGCTGCTTTTCATCACTTAACCATTTCTCCGTGATTAAAAGCTGAGACTGGACTTTCTCCAAGAGCGCCATATGGGAAAAATAAATTTGGGGGTGTTTACACCCAGTTAATTCCCGCTGAAGCTCCTCAGATGAAAAATGTAGAATAGACATGATTCTAGAGGCTCTTGGTCTTTTATCAAACTCAGAAAAAAGGTTTGAGGTTGTAAAAGATGATTGTCTCAGAGAGTCGATGTGTCTCACACCAGCAGTCGACTGCTAATGAAGTGGGAGCTGGCTGATGCTAGATAATAGGACTCTGAGCCTTTATGACGTCACTTCAAAGGATCACGTGGGCGGGGTGAAAGAAGTAGTAGTAGTAGGCACTGGTGGTCATAGTAACCCAAATGGGCGGAGCCTAACTTTAATGCATTTATCTCAGTCTGGACCATCGACGCTCCAGTGTTAACATCAACAGCAGCACCTGAACGCCCCTTTCTTTAACTTTATATGTAATAAAAATGAACTTTAACCTGAACCAACGTATTTCTTTCAGAAAATGTAAAAAATATCTCTTTTTTTTTTTCAAAATGTTAGCTTATAAGTCCTTTTGTCCCACATTTTGAATTTTTTTGTCATATTTTATTATTTATCTCAATTATAACATATTACAATAACACAACACCAATGTTTAAAATGCATCATTTTGGAGCAGCAGAGCTGTTTTTGTCAAAAACAACGTAAATGAGAAACGGGGGGGGGGGGGGCTGTGTCACATTGAAGAAAATGTCGAGCAGAGCTAGAATTACGAAGCCCTCGACGTCCTCACCCAGGGCTGTGTATCTGTTTGAACTCTTGGGGCACCGGGGATTCTTGAGCAGAGAGGAGGAACAGCGCTGATCTTTGATGCGCTCCAGGCAACTGCGTCCTGCGCGCACGGCACATTGTCAAAGTGGCGCAACCCAAAAAATCTAATTAACCCACGGGGGCAAGGCTCTACAGCAGAGCCCCCCTGTAGATTCCCCCGTTTCTGACCTTTTGTGGGACTTGAGCGAGGGCAGAGGCGATCATGCCTTGTCTGTGGTCAGATTCTTGACAATAGATCCCAAAGAAAAGACCACGATGCCGTCATCTCCAGAGCTTTGGACAAACTTTTCGAAATACTGCAGGAACAGAGATTTTTAATTCTTTTAAGCAGAAAATTGTATTTTTTTTAATCAAAATCTGCTTTTTTATTCAATAAAACAGCTAATAAGATGTCTATTTTTGTAGATCTTTTTTTCCAGATCTTATTCTTTACATTAGGATTTAACCCTCTGGAGGTAGGCGTTGCAGATGTGCAACGTTAGAACCATTTTTACACTCAAAAGAAGGATTTAGTTGTTTGCCCTTTTATCAAAACTTGTTTTGAGCCTGAGAGGGTTAACTATGATTTTTTTGGTGTACAATTATGGAAAAAGCACCTTTGGTAATGGTTTAGCAGGTTTGCAGTGAATCCCTCCAACAAATTTGAAGTTGGGAAGTAATGGACGGGGAAAGTCAAAATCCCAGTAGGTTCTCAACAACCAGATGTCAGCATTACCCATCATCTTACAGGCACTGGTGGGTGTTCCTGAGAAAACAAACATGTTCATGATGACTGGATGAAATCCATTACGTAATTTTCTAGTCAGTAATTCTCACCTTCTTCCACATACACTGATCCAGAACTAAGTCCTGCAGGACGTAGAAGAGGACGTTCCACGTTCTCTCTGAGAAGTTAATCTTGTCTGTCAGTCTGCTGACCGCACCTGGAACGTAGGAAGGTGGAGCAGGTAGCTGACCACACAGTCTCTCCCAGTTGTTTGCTATCGAAAATCTCAAAGAAAAGACTAGAGGGATGCCCAAGATTTCAGCAGTTAAATTGCTTCCAGAATAGATGGGACAGCTGCCCTGGGGCGTCCTGACAGAGGCGAGTCTGCCATACGCAGGCGACGCCGGTCCCTCCGAACAACATTTAAATGAAACATTGTCCTGCTGTAGCCACAGACATGAAGAAACATTACTAATAAAACCATAAATAAATCCACTAATATCACTTCTCAGGTGCAGCATGACATTTGACCCCAAATTCCCTCCACACACCGACTTGAAAACCCTTTACAAGTGCAGGTCATTTATAACTAGTCATTTGGACAGCAGTAGCTCCCGAGGGAGAGCGGGTCGTTCAGTAATCAGAAGGTTGCGGGTTTAATCCCGGCTGTTTGATATTTTTTCTAAACAGTTTGACAGAAGTTACTGAAACTTGAGCAAAAACTCAATGGTCAGAATTTAACAAAAAAATGTGAAGTACAAACCATTTATTCAGAAGTGAAAACATTGGACACTGATGTTTTTCCTTTTCCTTTTTTGTAATAATAAAAACCCAAAACCCTATTTGATCACACAGAAGATAAAAAATACATCAAAACACTTTTGTTTTTTGCTTTTTTTAAACAGTTTCTTACTTCCCTGTTTTTACACAAGAGGTCAGTGGTCAAAAGACAGATTAAAATCTATATTAAGTCAGCCTTTCTATTGAATATTTAACTTTAATAAACCTGAGCTGAGTTTGTTATTCAGCCTTCCTCTTGGTGTTCCTTCTGCAGCAGCTCCTCCGGAAACAGAACCTGCAGGTCTTGTCGAGGAGGAACAGGAGCAGCAGAACCACAGAGAGCAGGAAGCTCAGGACATCCAGGCTGTGATTCTGGTACCAGGTGAGCTCGTGGGCCTGGACCCTCAGGTGCTTTGCTCCTTTGTGCCTCATGGTGAACTCGATCCAGAAAACCGCCTCGTCCAGAGGACTCATGGGTCTGTCGTGGTGGATTCTGGACAGTCTCATAGCACTTTCTTTGTAGCTGTGGATAAACAAGTTAACATAAAGAGTTATTCATAATGTATTGTCAGAGATTAATTTTCATCTCACAAACTGGGAATAATGAAAGGCACATTTGTAGTTTTGTACATTTAAGCTAGGTTACTCTTTCGGGCCATACAGTAAAAATTTGCCACGAAAACAGGAAATTGAAGGGAAATATTTATTCTGGTAATAAAGTTAATGCTGACTCATCACCAAAAACAAAACATTTTTTTTAAACTTTTAAAACAGACTTGGTGCAGAAATTTAAAAAATCTTACGTTGTGCCATCGATGACGGTGTTGATCGCATCTCTGAGGTCTTCAGATGTCAGTGAGTTTAATTCCACAACAACTGCAGCTCCTTTGGCTTTCATGTGCACCATGTTGTCTGGCTGGTTGTCATGGTCTGCGTCAGCCCCTTTTCTTTGTGCCTCCTGGTGTCCTCCATCCCTCTCTAGATTCCCTCTTGTGTCCCTTTGTTCCCCAGCTCCTCTTGTGCTCCACTCCAGGTTCCCCCCTTGTGCTCTCTTATGGGCCATTCCCATCTGTACCGGGTCGGCCTGGGCCGGGTAGCCCCAGTCGGCCCCAGCCTGGCCCGGTTGATTCCACACATCCTTGCCTTAAGCCCATGTGGGCTGATTCTTCCCACCAATCAGAGGCTTGCTCTAATGGAAGGTTTGAATTTGCTGTCAGCAGTGGGTGTGTTGGCCCTGGTCGGCCTGAAGCAGACCCCCTCGAGAAGAGGGCTGAGAATGAGCCTTGGTTGGCCCGGAAAAATACCAGGCCACCCAGATATGTAAACAACCTACGCTACCCGGCCCGGGCCGACCCGGTACAGATGGGAATGGCCCAATAGTGCCCTCATGTGTCCTTGTCTGCATCCCTGTTATGTGTCTTATGTTGTAGCCCTTGGCGCCCTCGTGTGTCCTTTTTCTGCATGTCAGTTTAGTGTCTTATGTTATCTTATCTACCCTTTCCTCCCAGGTCAGCTCCAGTCTCGTTCTCCCCAGCTCAGTGTGTGTGGGTGTATGTGCTATGTCCTCCTCCAGCTAGTTTGTGTGAGTCCTTCCCTCTGTCTTTTGGTAATATTTGTTTAGTTTTGTGTTTAGGTATTTGCCCTCCTCTGTCTCTGTTTTTCCCCATTGAGTTGATTAGTGTCACCTGCCTTCCCTCCAGCCCTCACTCCACACACCTGCTTCCTTAATTTTTCTCCCAGTCTATTTAAGCCCGGTATTGTCTCTGTCTTGTGTCGGTCCATTAACGTATCTGTATGTTAATTCTGTCAGTGTTTGCTCGTGCTCTTGGTGAGCTTTGTTTCTCCAGCCTTGGAGTTTTTGGACTTTGGCTCGCTGCCTGGATTTACTTTTGTTCCGCCTTCAAAATAAAGGATTTTACTTTTCATCATCTCTGCCTCGTGTCATCCTGGGTAACTACATAATTGGGTCCTAACATCCTCAGAACGTGACACTGGTCAGCAAAAACTGGAATTCCCACCATGGGAACGCCGTGATAGATAGCCTCATAAACCCCGTTTGCACCTCCATGAGTGATAAAAGCTCTAGTTTTAGGGTGACCTGATGACGGGAGAAAAAGTTTACCGTATTTTCCGGATTACAAGCCGCTACTTTTTTCCCCACGCTTTGAACCACGTGGCTTATAATGAGGTGTGGCATTACTGAAGGTTTTCCTTCACCTGCCACCAGGGGGCGCTTTAGCAGGAAGTGAAACAGGTGGAAGTCAAAAGTGGAAATCGAAGAAAGTGCTCATTTTAATTTAGCACATTCAAGCAGCAGGCACGACGAAGAATTTGTTTCAAATCCATACCCCCTCATCATGGTAACTACACGTATGAGTTCATATGATGCCGCATTCAAGTTGAAGGCCATCGATCTAGCAGTAAAGGAGGGAAACAGTGCTGCCGCATGTAAGCTTGGCATGAATGAATCCATGGTTCGGCGCAGGAGACGGCAGCGGGAAGAACTCATTCAAGCCAGCTTCACCCGGGGATGATGACAGCAACACGGACAGCGACACTGACATCGCCACAGAAATATGTGATGAAGCTCTTCTGAGGCTGTTCAACTCCGACACTGAAGAAGAGAACTTTAATGGTTTCAGCGCACAAGAGGAAGATGAATAAACTAATCGATAACTTTTCTGTTTTGTTTCATACTGATCAGTTCAGTTACGTTCAGTTAAACTACGTTTTCAATTCAGAGATCAGCTGCTTTTAGCCCGGTGCGGCTTATATTGAGGTGCGCTCTATAGTCCGGAAATTAAGGTAATTAACTTTAGAGAAGAAGATAAAGTATTTTATTTAAGACCTTTATTTGAATAAATACACACTCACCTAAAGGATTATTAGGAACACCACACTAATACGGTGTTTGACCCACTTTCACCTTCAGAACTGCCTTAATTCTACGTGGCATTGATCCAACAACGTGCTGAAAGCATTCTTTAGAAATGTCAGCCATATTGATAGGATAGCATCTTCCAGTTGGGAGATGTGTGGGATGCACATCCAGGGCACGAAGCTCCCGTTCCACCACATCCCAAAGATGCTCTATCGGGTTGAGATCTGGTGACTGTGGAGGCCGTTGTAGTACAGTGAACTCATTTTCATGTTCAAGAAACCAGTTAGAAATGACTGGAGCTTCATGACATGGTGCATTATCCTGCTGGAAGTAGCCATCAGAGGATGGGTACATGGTGGTCATGAAGGGATGGACATGGTCAGAAACAATGCTCAGGTGCCCAGTTGGCACTAAGGGGCCTAAAGTGTGTCAAGTAAACGTCCTCTAGCATCAACAAGGCATTTTCGCCCACAGGACTGCTGCATACTGGATGTTTTTCCTTTTTCACACCATTCTTTGTAAACCCTAGAGATGGTTGTGAGTGAAAATCCCAGTAACTGAGCAGATTGTGAAATACTCAGACCGGCCCGTCTGGCACCAACAACCATGCCACGCTCAAAATAGCTTAAATGACCTTTCTTTCCTGTTCTGACCTTCAGTTTGGAGTTCAGGAGATGGTCTTGACCAGGACCACATCCCTAAATGCATTGAAGCAACTGCCTTGTGATTGGTTGATTAGATAATTGCATTAAGGAGAAGTTGAACAGGTGTTCCTAATAATCCTTTAGGTGAGTGTATCAAGTGCAAAAGTTTGACTAAGAAGCAAAAATTAAATTATTTTCAACTTGATTGTCTCTTTTTGCATCAGTTTTTAAATCTGATGTTTATATTTACTCACCCAGCAGGTCATTCTGTGGAATCCATGAGTAGAGTTTAGTGTTGGACCCCAGAGTTTCGGGAGTGTTCCCACTGTATTTCCACAGCACCTACAAACCATAACAACACTTTTGATCAAGTCTGCATCATTTTTGTCAGAATTTCAGAGATGTTCCTGACCCCTGACCTTTTGTGGGACTTGAGCGAGTCCAGAGGCTATCAGGTTTGCCTTGTCTGTGGTCAGATTCTTGACCACGGCCCCTAAAGAGAAGACCACGATGCCGTCATCTCCAGAACTTTGAACAAACTCTTCTATATCCTGCAGAGGGAGGAACACGTAGAAGTAAACGGCACAATTAGGCTGTCATCTTCAAGTGGTGCTCGCTGCAGAACCACAAAGGCGGAGCTGCACCAGAGTCAGCCCCACCCATTCCATCAGTCAGTCCAATTCCTTCCAGTTGTCAGACTTGATAGCATTCTGGAACCAAAGAGGGTGTTATAGCTTATATCATCTAAAATGCAAGATTGAGGACGGAGCTGAGGTTCCATATAATTAAAAATCTAAATTTTGGAACTTTTTACCATGTTTTATTGTCATTTCCTCATAAGAAACATGCCAAAGCCATTTTTAGCCTCATTCATGCATTTTCCTCCCATCTCAGCTTCAATTTGGTCTCCTTCCCTGAAGCGGGTCTAGTGTTGGTTCTCAAATCTGGATATTCTGTGAATTTTCTGACAAATTATTTCTGAAATGACTTCTACTGAGACACTGCCGGATAAACTATACATCCCATCTACAAAGACACGCTTGAATCCAAAATTACATGTCACGCCATGTTTTCTATCAGATGTGGTGGACAAGTGGTTATGGAGTCAGTTTGACATGTAGTTTTGTGCCGGTTCGCCTCCCAGTAGCAGCAAAATGGAGGTGATTTGTAACCCTTTTTCTTCTTTTCTAGCTATACTTGCCAGTACTATGTTTACAACAATTTATTGGTATACAGTTTAAAATATAATGACTAATGTGTTTTTTATTTATTCGTTTATTTAGCCAGTGTTTGTGAGCAGAGTTTCAACTAAAATGCTGTTTAGGAACGACCAAATTCAAAGAACTTTTAGAGACATACATATTTTTTTGCAGAAAATAAACATTACAACTAAAATATGAACAAATTAAATGTTTCAGCTGGCTAAATAGATTGCTGCCGAGCCCAGAGAGTCGAACCAGCATCAGCTGAGGGGAAAGCAAAACTTAAATCTTACAAACTTGCCACTGGACTACCAGAGGACACAATGACTGTGTAGGCCGCTTTAATTAGAGCGGCTATGGGCAGATATTTGCTAAATGAAACCTTTTTGTCTCGTCTCGTCTCGTCTTCCTCCGCTTATCCGGGTCCGGGTCGCGGGGGCAGCATCCCAACTAGGGAGCTCCAGGCCGTCCTCTCCCCGGCCTTGTCCACCAGCTCCTCCGGCAGGACCCCAAGGCGTTCCTGGACCAGATTGGAGATGTAACCTCTCCAACGTGTCCTGGGTCGACCCGGGGGCCTTCTGCCGGCAGGACATGCCCGAAACACCTACCCGGGGAGGCGTCCAGGAGGCATCCTGACCAGATGCCCAAACCACCTCAACTGGCTCCTTTCGATCCGGAGGAGCAGCGGTTCTACTCCGAGTCCCTCCCGAATGTCCGAGCTCCTCACCCTATCTCTAAGGCTGAGCCCGGCCACCCTACGGAGGAAACTCATTTCGGCCGCTTGTATCCGCGATCTCGTTCTTTCGGTCATTACCCAAAGCTCATGACCATAGGTGAGGATTGGGACGTAGATCGACCGGTAAATCGAGAGCCTGGCTTTCTGGCTCAGCTCCCTCTTCACCACGACAGATCGGCTCAGCGTCCGCATCACTGCAGACGCCGAACCAATCCGCCTGTCGATCTCCCGATCCCTCCTACCCTCACTCGTGAACAAGACCCCGAGATACTTAAACTCCTCCACTTGAGGTAGGACCTCTCCCCCGACCCGGAGGTGGCAAGCCACCCTTTTCCGGTCGAGAACCATGGTCTCAGATTTGGAGGTGCTGATCCTCATCCCAGCCGCTTCACATTCGGCCGCGAACCTACCCAGCAAGAGCTGAAGGTCAGAGCTGGATCAAGCTAGGAGGACCACATCATCCGCAAAAAGCAGAGACGAGATTCTCCTGCCACCAAACTCGACACACTCCACACCACGGCTGCGTCTAGAAATTCTGTCCATAAAAGTGATGAACAGAACCGGTGACAAAGGGCAGCCCTGGCGGAGTCCAACCCTCACTGGGAACAGGTCCGACTTACTACCGGCTATGCGGACCAAACTCACGCTCCTCTGGTAAAGGGACTGAATGGCCCTTAACAGAAAGCCACCCACCCCATACTCCTGGAGCGTCCCCCACAGGGTGCCCCTGGGGACACGCTCATAAGCCTTCTCCAAATCCACAAAACACATGTGGATTGGTTGGGCAAACTCCCATGCCCCCTCCATCACCCTTGCAAGGGTATAGAGCTTGTCCACAGTTCCACGGCCAGGACGAAAACCACATTGCTCCTCCTCTATCTGAGATTCAACTATCGATCGGACCCTCCTCTCCAGTACCTTGGAGTAGACCTTTCCAGGGAGGCTGAGGAGTGTGATCCCCCTATAGTTGGAACACACCCTCAGGTCACCCTTCTTAAAGATGGGGACCACCACCCCGGTCTGCCACTCCCTAGGAACTGCCCCCGATGACCACGCAATGTTGTAGAGACGTGTCAACCATGACAGCCCTACAACATCCATAGCCTTGAGACACCCAGGACGAACCTCATCCGCCCCCGGGGCTCCCCCGCTGTGTAGTTGTTTGACTACCTCAGCAACTTCTGCCCCCGAGATCGGACAGTCCATCCCCAGGCCTCCCAGCTCTGGTTCCTCCTCGGAATGCGCATTGGTGGGATTGAGGAGCTCCTCAAAGTATTCCTTCCACCGTCCGACTATAGCCTCAGTTGACGTCAGCAGCTCCCCATCCCCACTGTAAACAGTGTGAGCGAGTTGCTGCCTTCCTCTCCTGAGGCGCCGGACAGTTTGCCAGAACCTCTTTGGAGCCAATCGATAGTCTTTCTCCATGGCCTCACCAAACTCCTCCCACGCCCGAGATTTTGCCTCGGCAACTGCCACTGCTGCACCCCGCTTGGCTATCCGGTACCTGTCTGCTGCCTCCGGAGACCCACAGACCAGCCACGCCCTGTAGGCCTCCTTCTTCAGCCTGACGGCTCCCCGAACCTCTGGTGTCCACCAGCGGGTACGGGGGTTGCCACCACGACTGGCAGCGGCCACCTTACGGCCACAGCTAGCAACAGCCGCCTCGACAATCGCAGAGTGGAACAAGGCCCACTCGGACTCAATGTCCCCCACTGCTCTCGGGACGTGGTCAAAGCTCTGCCGGAGGTGGGAGTTGAAGACCGTCTTGACAGGTTCTTCTGCCAGGCGTTCCCAGCAGACCCTCACTATGCGTTTGGGTCTGCCAGGTCTACGCGGCATGTTCCCTTGCCATCTGATCCAACTCACCACCAGGTGGTGATCAGTTGACAGCTCCGCCCCTCTCTTCACTCGGGTGTCCAAAACATACGGCCGCAGGTCAGATGATACGACTACAAAATCTATCATCGACCTGTGACCTAGGCTGCCCTGGTACCAAGTGTACCGGTGGGCATCCTTATGTTCGAACATGGTGTTCGTTATGGCCAAACTGCGGCTTGCACAGAAGTCCAATAACAAAACACCGCTCGAGTTCAGATTAGGTGGGCCGTTCCTCCCAATCACACCCCTCCAGGTCAAGCTGTCATTGCCCACGTGAGCATTGAAGTCCCCCAGCAGGACAATGGAGTCCCCTGATGGAGCACTATCTAGCACTCGTCCCAGGGACTCCAAAAAGGGTGGGTACTCTGAACTGATATTTGGCCCATAAGCACAAACAACAGTCAGGACCCGTTCCCCGACCCGAAGGCGCAAGGAAGCTACCCTCTTGTCCCCCGGGGTAAACCCCAACACACAGGCAGAGAGTCTCGGAGCTAACAAAAAGCCAACCCCAGCCCTCCGCCTCTCACCCGGATCAACTCCAGCAAAGTAGAGTGTCCAACCCCTCTCCAGGTCTCGGGTTCCAGAGCCAATGCAATGTGTCGAGGTGAGTCCGACTATATCTAGCCGGTACCGCTCAACCTCTGCCACAAGCTCCGGCTCCTTCCCCGCCAGCGCCATGTCCCAAAAACTAGTTTTCTTGTCCGGGGATTGGACCGCCAAGGCTCCCGCCTTGGTCTGCCACCCGATTCGCATTGCACCGGACCCTTCATGTTCCTCCTGCGGATGGTGGGTCCACAGTTGGACGAGCCCATGTATCCGGTTCGGGCTGGGCCCGGCCGGGCCCCATGGGCGAAAGCCCAGCCACCAGGCGCTCGCTCACGGGCCCCAACCCCAGGCCTGGCTCCAGGGTGGGACCCCGGTAACCCTCCGGGCCGGGTACTCCGACTCTTCATTTTAACCGCCATGAAAGATCCTTCGAACCGTTCTTTGTCTCACCCTTCACCTAAGACCAATTTGTCATGGGAGACCCTACCAGGGGCACTAAGTGCCCCAGACAACATAGCTCCTAGGATCATTAGGGCACTCAAACTCCTCCACCACGATAAGGTTTCGGGATATATTCAGGCTTTGTCATGTCGCAAGTTATATTTATCTTGTTTAATTGGAGCATATACATAGCATTAACAATTGTAAACTAGTAGCAGCCGTAATTCATGTGGGTCAGGTTAGTTTGCGATAAAGTTGAAAAACAAAAAAAGAAGAAGTCAGTGGGCTAGGCTGAGTTTGCATGAATGGGCGGGGCTGACTCTGGTGCAGCTCCGCCTTTGTGGCTCTGCAGCGAGCACCCTCTCCAAAAACAAGCTGCAAAGAGCGAGAAGGACCGAGAAGAACAAGCACCATCCGTCTAGGCGGATGGTGCTTGTTCTTCTCGCTCCTTGCAGCTTGTTTTCTCATGTTTTCTCGCGCTCACTCCCGGAGTCCAAGTGCGTAGGTTCGACTCCCGCTCGGTGCGAATACAAAGTGGAAATAAAGATAAAGTGATAATATGCATAATAATACTTATTCATATATACTACATACTAATAATACTAATTATATAAATCTTTTTAAATAATTACCAATTTAAATGTAGTTAAAATTGGGATGAACCACTGAGCTGTGAAATATATTTGTGATAATACACATGTAAAATTACAGAACATATATGACAAAAATCTGTTCAAATATATTTGTTATGTTATAAAAACATGTAATAAATGTATCTGTGTTCAAATATATTTGTTATGTTATAAAAAACATGTAATAAATGTATCTGTGTCCAAGGTCATAAAAATAGTCTAATATTTAAAGTGTGTATCATTTTAATACTGAAAATCACAATAATAAAAACATCTAAAAATTATTTACAATATTTACAAGTTCCAAAATTGAAAAAAAAAGAAGAAAATGTCCCAAAAAGTCACTGTTTTTCGGGCCCTCCTCCAGTCTTGCTCTTCATCTCCTTCTTCCACTCCTCTACAGACTTCCCGCCAACAGATGCGCAGTAGGACACACCTGCAATGCGGGTGTGGCCAGTGTCCAGCCGCTTGGGCTGACCACATCTGCTGCAGGTGAACTGTTGGCGGGCTGTCTTTGATGGTGGAGCCTGCACGCCAGCAGCAGCAGCAGCCTCCGCTGCCTTCCTCCTTCTAAATGCTGTTGTCCTAGGCAAAACAACAGGAGGAGTCAGCGGAGTGGACCCCGGGAAGGGACGAATGGCGCGCAGGCTCTGAGCAGAAGAAGGAGGGAGGTTGCAGCTGGTAGAGGGACCGGGATGAGGAGCAGGTGGAGGTAGTGGTGGCGGTGGCAGTCCCCTGGAGGAGGGACCAGGTTGTTGCTCCTCAGGGAGGTTGTATTTAAAGGGCTGTCCTCTTCCCACCTGTACGAGGACAGCCCTTTCACAGAAGGGATGGGCTGGTGGGAGAAAGTTGGAGCAGAAACGGTGCCAGTTCCCTGCTCCAGCACACCTTTCTCCCACCCCTTCTGTCTATGGCTGAACCTGGAAGGACAAGAGGATGAGCTGAGTTGAGGCTGCAAGCTTTAACCTGAAGTCTGAAACACGAGGAAATATCTACCAGTTCTCACCATTGAGAGATGGTCTTCTGGTTCAGCTCATAGAGATGAAGCTGGGTCTGAGCCATCAGCCTCGGGCAATACAGCACCACCTGTCTGACGGCCATGTAGTCGTCGCGGATTAGGAACCAGCGTGACCTGCTGACCCCGTCCACGCGACTGGCCGCAGGGTGCAGACGGCAGAGCTGGCTGCACATGGCCTCCACCACACGGCTGGCGTCTAGCCTCTCCCGGCATCTGCTAGGGTAGACGATCCGTCGTTTGTCACGATCTGGCAGGCGTTGCCAAAGCGCGATGAGTCTGTCTACCCTGCTGTCAGACAGTCCCTGGAGACTCCTGAGCTCCACCAGGGCCTGAGCCAGCTTCAGGACATGCTGGTATCCTGTCTGGCCGTCAGGACCCTGGATCTCCTCCTGAGAAACAAAGAAAATGGGAAAAAGAAGTCAAATTTCTGAAATATCTCTGAATACGTGAAAAAACAAAATTAGGTGGGTCAGCTGTGAAATGATTAGCAGAGGGGGGATCAAAGACCTCTGAATCAGAGGAGTGTTTCTCTTCAGGAGTCTGGCTTCCAGGGACCTCGGGAGGGGCGTGATGCGCAGGGGCGGCAGGATGTGCTGGCTCAGACCCGGGTGCGACAGCTGGATCCCCTGACCGGGCTGCTCCTGAAGTGCTGGTGGACGGGTCGTCAAGGACGAAGGCGGCGACGTAGTCGCCCACGTCCTCCTGTGTGCCCTCGTCCAGGTCGGTGACGGCAGCAGCCTCGTCCGGAGCGTCAGGGTCCATGCTGATGTCCTCAAGCACGCGGCCCGTCTGCTGGAACAGGTAGTCCACCCCGATGAGCTCACCTGAGATTTTGTGGAAATGTAAACGGTTCAAAGCTCCTTCTTAGCAAAGTATTGGTGCACAGTGTCATTAAAAGTCACGAGTAAATAAAACGTGTTCCTCTGTTCGTCTACCTGTGTAAGCAGCAGGCTTGGTGAAGTCCTTAACCATCTGATGACCAAACACCCTTTGGCTCTTCTGGTTAAAGGTGTGCCTGAGGTGGCCACTGTAGGACAGCAGAGGCGCCTCGTGTCCCTCAGCTGCCGCTGCGCGGTCCTCGTTCCACCTGACCAGTCCATCAATCAGGAACGCCTGGAAGTACTTGGCACTGGCCGACGTTCCTGCGTGATTAGATTATAAAATCAGCTTAAGCTTTTACTGACACCTGAAAATGAACAGTTTACGGAAATAAAACTGATTTCTTGACAGATTCTGGTTTCTCACCTGGGATGAAGCGGTTCAGGTGGAGATGGAAGGACTCCAGGGAAGTGGAGCCCCTCGCGCAGCGATAGACGGGCAGCCTGACCCCTCCTTTTTGCAGACTGCCCGTCTGGGTGTACAGCTGCATGCCAGGGGGGTCCTGGATGCAGCTGAGGTGGCGCCTCTGCGTGTCCCAGATGTCCTGGATGCGGAGAGCGTTTAGCAACGGGATGTTCAGCGTGTTGTGTCCTGCGGGCCCTCTGAAGGTGTCAAGGAGGTTTTGGATGAGGAGCGTCGACTCCTCTGCTCCACGCGTCCTCCTGCGGCAGTGGAGCCTCCATTCCTCCTTGCTGATCCGCTGGATCACATCAGCGTCCGTCAGCTTGACCATCCCGTGCGTCCCCTCCAGCTCGGACCGCTTGGCTCCCACGAGACGGCGAGCATCTTTGGCGTCCACCTCGAAGATGCAGTAAGACAGCTGCCTCATGAAGGTGGGATACAGCTCGTGGCTCTCTGTGGTGACACCTGATGCGAAGCGGCGCATCAGATGCCAGATGTCCAGCCGAACAATGAGCTGTTCCCACTCCTGCGACAGAGAGGTTAGTCATTGGAGTGTTGCACACCATGTTTTACCTGCACCACAGTCAAGATCAGAACCCCAAAAACATTCACTGCTCTATAAATTGTCTTTTACAGAAATTTATTTGGGTGTCTGATTGTTTTAAAATTTTCAGAGAGACATTGGGTAGAAATTCAGGTGACCTGGTGATCCATTAAAGTAATTCACAACAAAATAATGAATCATTGCTATGAAAAATTAAATAAACAACTAAATAATCAGTCAGCAACAATGCAAGTTTATACTGGAAATAAGGCAGCCGTCTTGGACACGCCGTCCTGTCTGCAGCAGTCGTGGTCCACGTAGATGAGCTGGGGGGCAGGTACCTCGGCTAATCGGTACCGCCTCATCAGTCCGGCCGCCATCTTGGACAGGCCCTCGGAGCCCTCGCAGCGAGGACGCTCATGAGGACCTGGCCGTGCTCGTTGCCCACGTTGGTAGCCCAGGCGGCACCTGCGAGCTTCTTCGTCACCTGCACACAGAGAACTTCCTGCGTAAAGACCAGCAGAACTGTTGTTCACAAGCAGCAAGTAAACACAACGCGGTGACCGACCTTCTTTGTGGAATCCATCTTTAGGATGGATCCGAAGGTGGACGTGATCCTGGCCTTGTACTCGTCCAGCCGCGTCAGCACGTTGTAACCGTAAACGGTCAGCAGCCAGACTGGTGAGGGCACAGGGGGCATCTGGGGAGGTGGTGCGATCTGCCCCCTTGTGGTACCCAAGGCCAGGAACTGCTCGCAGACGCCGAGGTACTGAATCGCTCTCCGCATCCAGGCGTTGGAATGCTGCTCCCGCAGGGTGTTGCACAGCTGAGTGGCACTGTTGCCCAGAGTGCGAGATCTCAGCGTAGCAACCACCCTCTGGTCACAGGACAGCCTGCGTGAACAAAACAAACATTACCACATTATACTCTGCTGGACACACCCGCATGAGCACACAGTTTCACTCTTCTCATACTTGTACGTGAGGACAGCTGGGAACTGGCAGCTGTAGGTGGGGGGCAGCTGCCTTAAGATGCCCTGTGACCACCCTCCGACCTTCTTCTTACATCGACGGCACTCCAGATACTCAGTGGCCATGAGATACCAGCCGTCGATGTCCAGGACCCTCCGCATGGTCCTGTAGAGCCCAGCCTTTATCAGGATGCCGCTGCACAAAGGCTGGGGGCACGTCAGCTGCAGGTGCCACATCCTGTGAGGCATCCACAGGAAGAGCCGACATGCAAAGAAGGGGTCGGGAGAGGCGGGAGGCTGATTGTAGACCGCCCGGGGCTGGGGAGGGTACCACCAGGGACTGAGCTCCGTGATGAGATGCGGCCTCCCAGCACGGTCCCTGGTGAACAGCACCCGGCCGATCCACTCCTGCTGTTCTGCAGTCAGAGCTGCCTGCCAGGACTCAGGCAGCATCTAGAGAGAGAGAAAACAAAGCAGCAGAGTGAGAAAGGCGACTCGGGTTGCAGTCACCAACTCTTGTCATGTGTCTATGCCCATATATGTCTGCTCTCAGAATTGTGTACTGAAACTAAGTTCCCTCTGGGATTAATGAAGTTTCTTTGAATTGAATTAATGTCTGATGCCTCACCTTAGAGCTGGCAGCAGGAGGTGGGGGAGGGAGGACTGCAGCAAGGAGCTCTGGAGATTCCTGCATGGCCTCCAGGAGTTCCTCGTCTGTGGGTTAGGGTTAGGGGTATATTTTTTAAAGGCTCCATTTAAAAATTTATTTTCACATTTTCTTGCTGTGATGTTCAATTCTCCTATTAATAAATTAGGAAGTGGTATTGAACATTAGAGAAGAGAATTGTGTTTTTTACCATTTGTATCAAAGTCACTGGTAGAGCCTTACATACTTTCTTATATTCCTGAAGAGAACATTGAATGTTATTAAATTTGTATTCAAAATTATGTAACTGTAGTATTTCACCATCTTTATCCATAATATCGTGTACAAAGATAATTCCTTGATCAAACCACTGTTGTTTAAACAAAGACTTTGTTTGCAACAATTACTCGATTATTCCACAAGGTGGCACAATGAGGAGTAAAATTATGGGTAAATACCATCTTCCAATGATGCAATACTTGTTTGTGAAATTCAGATAATTTAAAAGGCAATTTAGTGATTTCAAAAGAAAGTTTAGCCCCCCAAACTTCTTGAAGACATTTTTTGGAATATGAAACCAAATTGTATCTGTCTTTATTAGAAATTCTTTCAGCCACTTTGTTTTAAATGTTCCCAGCATTGCTTCAAAATCCAGATTTCATACCTCCATTTTTATGTTCTTTGACTAACTGGGATCTTTTTATATAGTGGGTTTTATTTCTCCATATAAATTTGTATATAATAGCGTTAATATTTTTCACTGTTTTTGGAGCGATATGAAGAGATTGACATGGATAGATCAATTGGGAAATACCCCCAGACTTGGACAATAAATTTCGCCCAAAAATAGAAAGATCTCTGCTAAGCCATTGGTTCAGAGTTTTTTGTATTTGATCAGTTTTTTCTTTCATATTGATTTCTTCTCTTTGTTTTTCGTCTGCAACTATCTTAACTCCTAGATATTTAATATCTTTTTTAACAGGAATTGACATGATCTCATTATCTGTGCATTCATACAGTGAAAGAAACTCACAATTTTTTGTGTTCAGACGAAGACCTGATGCTTTGGAAAAAATTGAAATAATTTGTAATGCTTTGTTAACCATAGATTTATCCTTTAGAAAAAAAACAGTGTCATCTGCAAACTGACTTAAACGAAATTCATAATCAAAAAAATGTATACCCTGAAAATTTGGATGATTTATTACTAGATATGCTAATAGTTGTGTACATAAGATAAACAGTTTTGGGCTGATTGGACATCCTTGACTTATTCCACAAGTTATATTTATTCTTTTTGTTAATCCTGGGTTTAAGGAAACATAACTGTTAATATCAGTATAGAAAATTTTTATCACTGAACAAATTTTTTTCCCAAAACCGAAATATTCCAGGGTGGAAAATAAAAAATTATGTTCTATAGAATCAAAAGCTTTGAAATAAGTCTATAAATAAAACGAGGCTGTCCGTTTCCAAAATAGACCTATAATCCAGCATATCCAGTACTAATCTCACATTATTATGTATGCTTCTTCCTTTTATAAATGCAGACTGATTATCATCTACAATTTCATCAATCAAAGGGTTATTATTCCAGTTTTCATTGTTGGGGTAAGACAACCTTCATTTATACACTCATTAAATGTACTTAATAACAATTCTTGAACATCTTCCCCAAAAAATTTAAGAAATTCCGAGGTCAATCCATCAATACCGGGCGATTTCCCATTTTTTCATGGAATTTTCTATTTCTTTAATATTCAAATCATCCTCCAGATTTTTTCTGTCTTCCTCTCCAGTAGATTTAATATTGTTCTTTATCTGAGTGAAGAAGGATTTACATTCCTCCTCACAGAAATTAGAACTATATAGGTCTGAGTAAAAACGTTGAACTTCCTCCTTTATTTGATTTTGGTCTACTATTACAGTGTCATTTTTTAATTTGCATATTTTCTTTTTGGATTGTCTAGACTTTTCTAATCCATAAAAATATGTTGAGTTCTTTTCGCCTTCTTCAATCCACTTAGCCCTGGATCTTACAAAGGCTCCATTCGCTTTTTCTATATAAATTTCGTCAAGCTGTTTTTGGAGCAAGTTTAGCTCTGTTAGTTCATCCTCCGTGTTATTAATTTTATCACAGAGTAGGCTGATTCTTTTTAGCAGTTCTTTCTGCTTTAATTTTCTCTCTTTTGTCATAATTTTCCCCATTTCAATTGCTAACCTTTTTGTTTCAAATTTAAACCATTCCCATTTTCCTTTATTTGACATATTCATCCTTTTTACTTTTAGACAAAGGGCTTTTATTTGTTTGCAAACTCTTCATTTGATAAAAGGCTATTATTTAGTTTCCATAAACTGTCTGAAGAGCATGTTTGTTTTATTATTATTAAAGTTAAGCTTATTAAACAGTGATCAGTAAGCGGAGAAGTAATAATCTCACATTTCTTTATAATGTTACCTATAGAGTGAGAGATTAGCCAATAATCTATTCTTGACCGTTGGTTTCCATTAGAAGCACTGATCCATGTGTATTCTGATTTTGTAGGATTATTTAATCTCCAATAGTCAAAAGTATTAGTGATAGAACAGAAATCTTGTAAGATATCATTGTTTTCAGGATGCTGACCTCTAGGTGGTAACTTAACTAACCAAGAGTTTGGTGCGATACTAAAATCTCCCACAACCACCTTATCTGTCATATGAACATTTTGCCAATCTGTTATCATTCTGCCCAAGTTTTCTAACATCTCTCTGTTTTTAGTTTTGTTATTATATCCATAAATAGAAAGTATAAAACATTTCTGATCATAAATTTCTATAGCTGCTATTAACCAGTGGCCGTCTTTGTCTCCTCTATGATTAATTACTTTCCCTGTAAATTTGTTAAATAGTATCATAACCCCTGCCAAATAGCTGGTACCATGGCTATATAAAATATTATCCCCCCACTGTTGTTTCCAAAATTTTTCCTCCTCTATGCCTGAATGTGTTTCCTGTAACAAAATTAAGTTGGCCTTAAGCTCTTTACAAAATAAAAAAGTGCCTTGCGCTTTATGGTGTTTTTCAACCCTCTAACATTCAAAGAAGTAAACAAAACTGACATAACAAACAAAACAAATGGCCAGAATGTTACCTAGTATATCTGCTCTGGATTTATCCAAACAGCAGGAATGAGCAATATTGTCCAACTATATTATATCTCATCCAAAACCTCCTCCTTTAACAATCAGAAGATAAAAAAAACATTGGGCTGTTTGGTCTAGTGAGATCTCATTCTCAAAATAGCAGCCCATATTAACAGAGGAACAGTATATTAAAAAAAAGTGTATTGGTCCTTTCCTGAATATTGAAATGTATCATATTTCTAACATATATAGACCTTCCTCCCATCGATGATGGCGTATCCTTCCTTCAAGAAGGCCTTCTTTCCACGTCGTCTGGCTTCCTCCACCTGGGGCCACAGCTTCTCCCTCGCCTCCCGATCCTCTTTGGAGAAGTCCATTTTAAAGATGATCCTCTTCTCCTTGCATACTCTGGCCTCTTTCGACATCTTCCACACTTCTTCCTTCATCGTACGTAGGGCTGGGGGTAAACGATTATTTTTAAAACGATTATTCTGACGATTATTTTATCGAATAGTCGACTATTCTAATGACTATTTAGAAAATTAATCTAATGATTATTTTTCTATTGCACAATTAACAAAAACCAGAAAATCTCAAATAAATTCCTCAAAAAAATTGATAAATTGTTACTGTAAGAGAATAAACACTACAGGCCTTCCATTTGTATAACACTGCGTTTATTGTGTTGGTTGGTTATGTTCTGGTGACGTGTAGAACTTGGGAGAGCAGGCTGCTGCCTGAGAGGTGGTAGAAGATGGAGTGTCTCCATGCTGCTTTGTTTTGGTCACTTATGTGCGTGAGGCGAGTGGTCTTACGGGTTAAACCAAACTCAGGTGATATTTTACACTAAACCGAAAACCCACAACACTCTAAATGTAATAAAAGGGAGATCTACACCACAAAAAAGATGAACTCTAAACCAAAACGTAACAGCTTATCCAAACGCAAGAAGCTGTTAGCGAAGATGCTAACAGTAGCTTTACCAACGTTAAGTTCAAGTTACCAAGTTTAAATAAACCAAAAACACCCAGCAGCAAACAGACCAGCACGGAGGAGAGACTGCTACCACCAAAACAGCTCTCCTAATGTCTGAAAGAAGCTCCTTAATGAAGGGAGAAGCGCTCCCGGTGATTTTCTACATCTGCGATAGACACGAAGCAGTGCATCTGACCCCGGAAGTTGTTGTCCGTTGCCGGGAGACGAAGGCGGGCAAAACAGGAAAATAATCTAGTAGTGGACGGACGTTGTTCCGGGTCTTCGGTATTTGGCGGAGATGTTAGTGAAGGCGGAGAAGAGGGCGAACTAGAGGAAAAACAGGCAGATTCCTCCTCTATTTACAAACTCCTGGGGATGCAACAAGTGGGCGCGGTGCGTCGACTTCCGGATCTGACGTCGACAAATTTTTAGAATCGAGCCGTCGACGTAGTCGAGGCTTAGCTACTGCCCTAATCGTACGTGACACAAACTGAATGATAATGGGTCTTGGCCTGGTATTCCTTGCATCTTTTTTTCCCAAACGGTGTCCACATTCCTGCAGAGCTCGTCAACAGACATGGGGACCGCTCTTGTGAGTATGCTGATATCCTCTCTGATTTTCTCTTCCTCTTTTTCAGCTAACCCAAAAAGCCCGAGGTTCCATCTCCTCTTGTACCTCTCAGCTTCCAGTACCTTCTCTTTCAGAGCTTTATTTTCGACACCCAGAAACTCAACTTGTTTTTGTAGTTTAGTGATGTTTTCTTTGTTTACATTCGTTTCTTTCTTCGTGTCTTCTGTGCTTTTTTTCAATGTTTTGTAGTTTGCTTTCTAGAGCCTCCAACTTTTTCAGAGCTTCTTGAACATTGTTCATTCTCCCTTCAATGTTCTCCAACTTCCCGTCCAGCCCAACACATTTTTTTTATCAGAATCTCCATCATTTGCACAAGACTGTTTGTACTCTCCTCTCTTGCCTTCACACTTCTATTCCTCAGCTTTTTGGGTTGCGGACTGTTCATATCAGTTTGACTGTCCTCAAGATTATCATCAGCTTGCTCTAAATTTTGGGGTTCGTTTTCACTCATATCATCCATCACAGCCATGCCATAATCATGATCGATGATGCTAGCTTCTCTACATTGTTCCATCTTTAACTCTCTCTCACCGTAATTAGCTCTTCAAAAAAGTTCCTCAGTTTGTCAAAAAACGGATGAAAGTCGCTTCTAATACGTTATGGCTTGGTTTTCTTACCTTTAAACAGCGTTTGGACTTGGAAAAATACTGTTTTCCCTTTGGATCCTGCTATAAACCAACTGCTCACTCCGCCATCTTGTCGCCTCTCCAGTGGGAGCCCGCCCTGGACCAGCTCTTCATCACTGGGCTGCGAGGGCTCCGAGGGCCAGTCCAAGATGGCGGCCGGACTGATGAGGCGGTACTGATTAGCCGAGGTACCGAGAAGCGGCGGGAAGATGGCGGCGAGGGGGTAACATTCTAGAGCGTTTAGACTCCAACCATTATAAACTTTTTAAAACCACGAAAAAACGCCTCAGACACACATTAAAGAACTGACACATTTTTAAGACGGTGGCAGTTGGATAAACTTCGAAAGAAATAAGGAACTGCAACGGAAAACTACTCAGTGAGTTGTAAGCTAGCAGAATGCACCAACAAAGGAGAAAATGAGTCACCAACTAAAAAAATAAACGGAATTCAAGAGAAAAGACAGACTCAACTCCAACTAAAAAGAAAACTCCGTGTGCATTGCTTAGCGACCATAATTACAAGCCTTCACAGGAGGAAGAGATGGAATCACCTACCTCCACGACTCTCCATCAAGTAGCTTCTTCTTCTTCTTCTTCTTCTTCTTCTTCTTCTTCTTCTTCTTCTTCTTCAAGTTTAATGGCGGGTGGCATCTAACTGCTACATGCATTTCCGCCACCTACTGTGCTGGAGTGTGAGTCGGAGAGCGAGAAAAGAAAAAAAATAAATAAATAAAAACTAAATTCTATGCAACAGACCACAGTGCTTTAGATACCCAACAACCAACTTATAATTCCTTTCTTCACCATTTAACAAATTCCTTACAGTCCCTGAGTTGCCCTCTACTTCCCTCATATTTTATGCAGTCACACAAAACATGTTCCACCGTTTCTCCCCCCACCCCACAACCACGCAAACCTGGATGTTTCCCCATCAGATGCATTGTATTATTAAGCCCAGTATGTCCCAATCTTAATCTTGA